TTTAAAAATCATTTAATTAAAAAGCATGGATATAGGTATTTACTGGTGCTGGTTCAATTTTTCAACCATATGATCAGACCTCTAATTTTCATTTGTTTATGCATCTACAACCTCAGTATGCTGACCATTCTTCCTACATCTGATATCTCATAGATAGTTGCTGCAGTTCCAGGCCTCATATTCAAGTTCAATGAGAGGAAAGAGGAAGCGCCAGCACCAGCTACATCTTCCCCTTAAAATGAAAGTCTCTCCAGTAAAAGACCACTTACATTTATTGGACAAGAAATGAGCTATATAACTACTCTTAACTACAAGAAAAGTTGATAAATAAAAGACATGGCAAGGAGATGCATATTTATTGCCTAGTTTGGAGATGATTTTCATTTGGGAAAATATTGGATTATCCTAGGAAAGAAAAATGAGTACCTTATGGGCCAGGCTACTAAAAAGTGCCCATTCTTTTTCTTAATTGGCACAGAGAAGTATATTAGAAGCATTTGTAAAGAACATTTTACTAAAAAAAAGCTTTTGGTAAAGTGAAATGGGATATTTAGAGAAATCTCTAAAATAAATTTCAAGAAAGCTATTAACACAGTGTGGGAACCTGTCATGGTTAGAGGAACACCAATCTAGAGGGGTTTTATTTGCCCCAGGAAGGAATGTGATGTGATGAAGCCAGGCAAATAGCATCCTTTCAGGTTGTGTTCTCCAGCTTCTACTCATTTAATATGTAGGCAAATACCAAAATGATGAGAGTCAAGCACAGAATCTGAAGGAGAGAAGAATCACGCTCTATGTGTAATATTCTAACAAAGAGTTACATGTCCTGGTCATTTTTAAAAAAAGATTAATTAATTAATTAATTTTTATACAAAAACTAGGTTATAGGTCAGAGGCATGGGAGGGTGAGAGAATTCACCAGAGATAGATCGGGGAGCAGGACAGGCAGACGGACCAAAGACACTGCTGAGGGGAGCAGTGGGCGAGACAGGAGAGGTCTGTTGCATCATGTGGGTATCTCCCTGGCCGTCTGGGAATTGAATCCGCGCTGCAGAGGCTGTGGACAGCTTCACAGCACTGTGCTCAATGAGCTGTGTCACTGGGGAGGCCCCATGTCCTAGTCATTTTTAAAAGGAGTATGGACCTTACTGACTCAACCCAGGGACACCCAGGCATAATTTTAGATTAGGTAACTAGAGATGCTAAACTTCCTGGTGAGCATTATCTTCTCTACATAGTCACACAAGAAGACTTGGATACTTCGCTTTCTACTTAGTCCCTAGAGAGCCCAGTCCATGCTTCACTCTCAGCTTGAGTGACTTTGGTTAATAGAACCAGCACATCTGTTAGAATGAAAATGACCATATTGACAATGACAAAATGATAGTAACAGTGGGGCTTAGCTTGCTGTGAACTAAATTGATAGTATGCCAGGTCTTCTTATGCTTCACCAAACCATCCAACTCACATACAACCCAATGCCATGCTCGGCATCAAATTCAGCTAGAGAAATACAGGATGAAAACAAAAGCCAGTAAGGAAGCATCAGGAGTTTCTCCTACGTGGAAGGAATGCTGCTAGGAGCAAGAGGACAAGTCTCTGCAATATAAAGTAAATTTCATTTTGAGTTGGTTTTTGTGCATGGTGTTAGGTAGTGGTCAAGCTTCATTCTTTTGCATGTAGCAACCCAGTTTTCCCAGCACCATTTATTGAACAAACTTTCTTTGCTCCAGTGCATAATCTTTGCTCCTTTGTCAAATATTAGTTGACCATAAATCTGTGGGTTTATTTCTGGATTTTCTATTCGATTCCATTGGTCTGTGTGTCTGTTCATGGATGGAGCTAGAAGGGATCATGCTGAGCGAAATAAGTCAGAAAGAAAAAGAAAAATACCAGATGGTCTCATTCTAGCAGGAATTTAGAAAACCTAAATAAGAGACCAGAAAAAAGACTAATCAATACAAAGTAAAAATCAAAATCAACAAGCAACTATAAATCAGAGACACACTATGGGGGAGAGGGCCGGGGAAAGGAAGGACTAGAGTCAAAATAGGGGTGTGTGTGTGCAATTGTATGGGGAATATAACCATAATGAAAATGCATACATTGCGCAAAGATGAAAAATGATGTAAGAATTATATAAAATAAAATATTTTAAAATAAAAAAATAAAGTCAATTTAAGGGGTGAGGACATGGATTTGCACATGGGAGTGCATGGTGCGTCTTGACCTAGAGCCCTCAAGCCACATTTTAGTCAGTAATGCTTTTAACACCTTCATGGGCGTACACAGTTTCCAGCTTAAGTGCGAAAGACTTGCCAAGTTGGAAAAGTAACCTGAAGCTATTCTTACCACCAGGTATTTATAATACTTTCATTATTCTTCCAGTCAAGATGACTTTTATTAATTAGGAGTCATTTGTAGCATAAACAATGTTGCTTAGTAACATTTATCAGGTTTCCAGATCAGAACTAGAAAGTTAATGCAAATATATACATATATCGAATCATCATATTATATACTTTAAATATCTTACAATCTTATTTGTCAACAACACTTCAATAAAGCTGGCAAAAAGTTAATCCAAGGTAAATTTTATTTACTAAGAAAATATTTTAACTCTTTACTTTTACATACATTTTAAATTTAATATCCACAATAAGCATGAGATGAATGATAATATTTTTTATTTTACTATAATAGGAACTTGACAGTAGCAAAACCAAGATCAAACTGAAATTTCCTGCCCTTGAGGCAGAATTTTAAACCATAAAATCCCATGTCTTCCATGATTCCATGAAAGGAAAAGAGAATTAATAAATAGACAGTAAACTAAGCTAATGTCAGAGACATTTCTTTAAAAGGCTGTTTAGAAATTTCATGAAAATAAAGAAACTTAAAATATTTTTAAGTAGCATATTTTGGTTATTTTATTCAGATACTGGAAAACCTTACCTGACTATTGATCGAGTAGTTTTCCTTAATGGACATTTATCTTTTTTCCCCAAAGTCTAGTCCAGAATAGACTAAAGTACACTGATGGACAAAGCGTGTTTATGAACTTTTGTTCAACAGCATGTTTTTCATTCTTTTACATGCTCTACATCTAAAGAAACATTGATTTTGTTTCTAATGTTCAGAAATTTGGGTAAATCAGCCTAGAGTCAGGGTGTGAAACTCTGTCTAAATGATTCACGGGAACTTGGAAGAATGTCTTTTCTCAGGCTTTGGACTAAGATATTCCATTTACTGCATCTCCCTTCTCAATCTCTCATTTTGTTTTAAGACAATTTCTGTTCTTGTGGTTATTTTCCCGAGGGGCAAAATTTAAAATATTTGACAACTGGTATGACTTAGGTACCAACTAGTTGAATCAGAAGCTGGTTGTAGCACTGGAGAAGATTCTGAGGCTGACTTAAAAGTTTTGTAATGCATTTTTCCCAATCCATATACTGCCAAAGACCACATCAGAGTCAACGAGCCTCATCCCTTACTAAGAGTCAAAGAAGGGAAAGGTAGATGAAGAGTCACCATATTTACTGGCGTACACGTGGGCTGAATGTCAGCACAGCATTTCCTCCTCCTGTGACTCACATGAGTAACCAGACATAAGGAGGTAGAGTACTGATTAGGTACATGCATTTTAGTTGTTTAGTTATACTTTTATGATTTCTCTTAGATGTGGGTTTTGGGAATTTGGATTTTGAAACTGCCATAGTAAAACCTGCATCATTTTGTCTTGATATATTCACCAGCAAATCCCTTTTCTTACATTTCCTCTTACACCAGTGAGAATGGCACATATTAAAAAAACTAGCAACAACAAATGCTGGCGAGGGTGTGGAGAAAAAGGAACTCTTCTGCACTGTTGGTGGGAGTGCAAACTGGTCCAACCACTGTGGAGAGCTGTGTGGAGATTTCTGGACCTACTAAACATAGAGCTTCCATATGATCCAGCAATTCCACTCCTAGGTATTTACCCAAAGGACACAGAAACATCAATTCCAAAGAACACCTGCACCCCTATGTTTATAGCAGCACTGTTTACAATAGCTAAGCTTTGGAAACAACCCAAATGCCCAAAAATAGATGACTGGATCAAGAAGATGTGGTACATATATACCATGGAATATTACTCAGCATTCAAAAAAGATAAACACATGCAATTTGCAGCAACATGGATGGCGCTGGAAGGGATCATGCTCAGCGAAATAAGCCAAAAAGAAAAAGAAAAATACCGGATGGTCTCACTCATAGCAGGAATCTAGAAAACTTAAATAAGGGACCAGGAAAATGAATAACTATAAGAAAGTGAAAATCAAAATCAACAAAAAACTATGAACCAGAGACACTTTTAGGGGGGCGGGGGCGGGAGGGGAGGGATTGGGGTCAGAATGGGGGGGCTGCAATTGTATGGGGAATATAACAATAAAATTTATAAAAAAAAAAAAATAATTAGACTTCATCTAGCATAGGCAATCTCAAATTGGGTATGAAACAAAATTTCCTAAGAAGTTGGAAGTTATGCATGGTAGGGTTACAACCTAGATTCTATATTCCATCAGAATCTCACAAATATTTCTGAGAATCTGCATTTCAGCAACCCCTCCTCCCCCCATCTCATTCCCCCAGTGATTCTTATTTAGCAGTTCAACTTTAGTTTGGAAATACAAGGATAAGATCAATGATTCATCAATGATGAGTGGCCAGGCTAGAAGGCATGAGAGCAGGGTAACGGAGGGGTTCACAAATGGCCAGATAGCGGTCATACGCCATGACGGCCAACAGGACACATTCAGTGCAAGCTAGAGCAATGAAGAAGTAGAGTTGGGTCATGTACCCTATATAGGAGATCTTACTTTTGTTTCAGGAAGTTAACAGATACTATTTAGATGAACTGTTCACTAATTGGTATTTTGTTTCCTTTAATCCTATTTTATGATTCCTTGAGGTGCCAACAATAAAACTGCTCCTCCTGTCCTGACAGGATCTGTTGTGTGTCAGTCTGGGACATCCCTGGGATAGAGGCATCTTCCCAGCACCGCCTTCCTGAGGGCATCCTTCACCTCCTTGTTCCTCAGGCAGTAGATGGCTGGATTGAGGAAGGGCACAATGACGGTGTAGAGCACAGAGATGATCTTGTTGTAGTTGAAGGTATACATAGCCCGGGGCCTTGCGTAAGTAAAGAGGGTGGAGGAGTAGTATATGATGACCACGGCCAGGTGAGAGCCACATGTGGAGAAAGCTTTGCGGCGCCCCTGAGCAGTGGGAATTCGCAGGATGGTTACAATAATGGCAGCATAGGATGAGACTACCCCCAGCAGAGGGAGCAGAATCATCACCAGGGCCAAGAGGAAGTCTACTAGTTCTGCTTGCTCTTTGTCAGAGCAGGTGAGGTTAAGTAGTGGGGAGATATCACAGAAAAAGTGGTTGATGATGTTGGGGCCACAGTAGGACAGTCTGGAAATGAAAAGAAGCTTCATCATAGAGCTGAAGAAACCACTGCCCCAAGAAGACACAGCAAGACGAGTGGCCAGGCTGGAAGGCATGAGAGTAGGGTAACGGAGGGGTTCACAAATGGCCATGTAGCGGTCATATGCCATGACGGCCAACAGGACACATTCAGTGCAAGCTAGAGCAATGAAGAAGTAGAGTTGGGTCATGCAGCCTATATAGGAGATCTTACGGTCCTGCGTAAAAAAGGCTCCCAGGAGTCGGGGAACTGTGACATTAATGTACCATAGCTCCAGGAAGGAGAGATGGCTAAGGAAAAAGTACATTGGACGATGGAGGCTGGGTGTGAGCCATATTGTAGAAACAATGAGCGCATTCTCCAGCACTGTCAACAGGTAGATTGCAAGGAAGAGGGCAAAGAGGAGCAGCTGGAGGGGTGGAGAGGTAGGGAAACCCACCAGAACAAACTCTGTTACGTGACCTTCACTCAAATTTCTCATGATCTCTGTCCACTTGACTGCCTAAAATAATAGTAAGAAGAACAAGATGTTGAAAGACTGGTGGATCAAACCGTGAAGTGACTATTCCCTCACAGGTTAAGACTTTCTGAAGATGTGCAATAGTATATTATCAATTATTATTACATAATTTTGCTTATTTCACGTTGCTATTTCATCTGCCCCCTCAAGGGAAAAGTTTGTAAACTTTTAAACCATTGGTTAAAAATCTTAAAATTTCTTGGACTATCACTTAATAATAATATAGATTCGCCATTCTCCCCCCAATTCTTGTGTGCACCCACAAAGATGACTTTAGCCACAGTGAGAAAGTATGACAAAGTCTCAGCATCAATTCCATTCTTATTTTTCATTTTGGAGATATAAAATTTTTCACTTTGAGAAAAGTAGTTTATTAAATGAATGACATTGATATACCATAGCTCAGAGAATGAAAGTCATATTGTTATAACAATAACATTAAATTACTTGAACTTGCTATTAGTTATATGCCATAAATTACACAGTCATCTATCACCCAAATGATTTTTATTGATTTATTAGCTGACAACTCAATTAGCTTCCAATTAAGTTCTGTTGAAAGAAACAGATTGGAAACCACTGACTTGCAAAAAGAAATATTGGCCAGTTATTTGCCCAGAGAGGTTAAGAGGGGGGCGTCGGGAGGGACAAGGGGACCCATGGGATGGTGGTGGGGAAAATGAGTGAATAAGTGTTTAACAAAGTAATAATATAAGAACGTGGGACATTCATGTTCCTTCTCTAGCTGAGGCAGAAGGCTGAATCTGCTTCCTGACCTATCCAATAGGGTCATCCGCTGCTGCTGGGAATATCTGTCATTCCTGCTTCATTAGCCTATGTGAAGATCAAAGAGACAATTTAGGGAGGATGCTTTACCCACAGTGTGAAGCACAGTCATTTTAAAACACATTGATGATTCCATTGGTCAATGGGCCTGAAGCCATGCAGATGTCACATGGATCCCCCAGTTTGCTATTTAGAGTAGCATGGCTGCCTGGGTTCCTGTCTAACTACCTCCTGGGTGTCTCCTAAATGAAGCCTGAATATCCCATTCCCTGGCCTCCAATGGTTCCCAGCAGGGAACCACACAAACCTGCATCCAGCAACACACAGGACAGGACCTGTACCCAGGCATATACCATGTTCAGAGAAAATAAAAGTTTTTCTTGAATTCTTCATTTGTTCATCAGAAGTTGGATAATTGTAACTCACTTAGCGAAGAACTTGGTGAATCAAAAACTGAGAACAGGTTGGAATTATGTTACTATCTTAACCCGTGTCCACTTGGTAAAGAAGACAAAATGATAAAATTGATTGCTATGTACAAGTCACTGAGTCCCTCTCCTATGTTAATTTAATCTTCATAATGCTTCACTGAATTTAGGGAACTTTACCTCTACTTACAAATGATACAGAGAACTTAGTTTTCAAAATCATACATTGAGGAAATTGTGGAACTGGGATAAATCCAGATAGTAATAACAAACTTAATCATGATCCTATGTGCCCTCCGTGGAAGCAGGAAGATGTCCATGGGTAGAGTTATGTGGAGTCATTCATATAAAAACAAGTGTGTGTGTGTGTGTGTGTGTGTGTGTGTGTGTGTGTTTGGCTCATCTGTGTATGGTAATGTATAGTTTAAGAAATCTCACTTGAATTAGATTGTGTGGACTTGGACTGAATAAGTAGGACATTAGGTCTGTCTTGGGGCAAAGAGAATACTTCTCTGTGAACGTACCAAGACTGGTAGTCATCTCTCCTACCACTGACCTGTCCTCTCTTGATTCCCCACTCCTACATACAATCTTATATCCAGTGCAGTGTGTTTGCAGCACCTCGCCACAGTGAAACTTCAAATCACCCCTTTTACTTGTAAACATATCAAATGTATTTCTGAGGCATCGACTCCATAAACATAAACCTTTGAATAATATGTCAGAGTAGTCAGTATGAGATGGTTGGATGACTAAACTTTCTTAGGTGTTAAGACAACTGAACTTCTAGAGAAATTCAAGAGATTTTCAGGAATATGAGGGTCCCGAGAGTCAAGGGCATGAGTGGATGAGGGTCTGAGGGCATCTAATCTGATTAGGGAACCATCTGTCACAGATGTTGGCTTAGTCCTTTGCTTGCCTGTCTTCTGGCTCTGCTATCATACCTTACCTTATCTGGCCAGGGGTGGTCAGCCTCAGCCCCTCTTCAATAAAGCTGACACTTCATGCTGGTCTCTGCATCATTTGTGGCAGGACAGAGGTTGGGCAGGCAGGGCCCTTAAGCATACTAGGCAGCGGTAGTAGCCACTCATCAGGGACACAGCCTCGAAGGACTCATTGTCATGGTGACCTACCTTTCCCCAACAAGACCGTGTCCAAGTCACCTTAGGGATTCTTCCTATCAGGGCATACAAAAAACTATGAGAGCGCCAAGTCCAAAGGGACATAGCCCTGGAGGGAAGTAGAATAATGTCCTTGAGTTCATTGTCTGGGAGCCATCATGACGTGCTTTTGCACATCTTATTTTCAGAGGTGCCAAAGAGGCTATTTGCCTGCATCAGTGAGTGAATGGACATAATGATCATTCAAATATAAAACTTTATTGAGGAAATAAGACAGTAAAGTAGAGAATTAATTTTGACACTTTTTAAAAGATTTATTTATTTATTTATACAAGCACTGGGTACAGAATTTTGACACTCTTTAGACTCTTAAATATTTTGAGAAAACATTATTTGTCAAATTGTTACATTGTATTTGGGAGGGGGAGTCTTCTCCCACCTACAGTCTACAAGCCCCAAGGAGGAAAGTGTCTTTTCCTGCTCACACTGTTATATCCCTTTGTGACTAGAAGTGGGATAAGGGGGTACCAGGGAAGACCTCAGTATTGGTGGAGTGAGGATGGGCAGAGGAAATATTGATGATTCCTGATTCCTGGGTCAAGTGTGATTATGCTTCTGGAAATGTAGTGTTTTCTTTCTCTCACAGTTCTGGTTCTCTCGCTGTTGCTCTTGTCCTGGTAGCTCATCCACTTCTCTTTCTTCTGATGCTCTCACAAATTGAATAGGCTACAACTTAGGGTATGTGCTGAACTCCCTGTCACTAGAAGTATTCAAGCAGACACCAAATGAACATAGCTTAGGATGAAATATTGGAAAGCGAGCATGTGAAATAGAGTTGACTGTCCACTTTTTTCTGGAATAATGGAAGTTTGTTGTTAACAGCAGAAAATAGGGTTACAAGCAATAGTGTTTTGCAAAAAGTGACTTGATGTTTTAAGGAGTGGGGAAATTTACATTTATATGAGATTTTAGGTTGAAGTAGTGAGGAGATGATAATTCTTAGAAAACAGAGAAGGGGGAATAATATGAAAAAATCAGTATAAGTTCAGTCTTCAGAATATGATCCTAAACTGGATCACCTTGTTACAGGGCAGGGAGAGGGGCACCCCAGACCCCGCAAACCTGCCTGCTCTAAACAGGTTCTGCCATCTGCCACATCAACACAAAACATACGAGACTTTAATGGTTAGGAACTTTAATACAATTAGGAAACAATACAGGAAAGGCAAAGAATGTAGTTTCTAAATTAAGTACCCAAAGTTACCTGTTCCCTCGTGGGTAAAAGTCCACCAAAGCAGGATTGGCCCAGAACACAAGCCTAAAGCATCTTCTAGTGGGGACCCACAGAAAAGGATCAGAAACAACCAGACAATCCCAGAAGGAAAAGAGCAAAATCAAAATCAAGACAAAAACCGCCATTGTCACCTCCACATGGCTCTCTCACCCCCATCTGTGTCACCCAGTCCACCACCAAAAGGCAAGTGCAGTTTCTTAACGTGTCTCTTGGCTCCATGTGCCTCCTCCAGGTCTCCTTCTGGCTCCATCCTGCTTCCCTCCTTCCTCAGTCTCCTCTGCAGCTTCTTCTCTCCCTGCTCAGCTCCACCCTCCTTTGGGTGGGGCAGGAAACCTGGAACCTCCCCCTTTCCTGGGGACCACCCTGTTACAATCTAATGCACCAGAATCTCCTTCATCAGGACATCAATTAGATTTTTCACTCATTGTATCACCAGCCAATAAAGTCCTTTAAAATGTATACCTGAAAAGTTTGCTCATCACATAATAAGAAATCAATATGGTTGCTAAATAAAGAAGAAATGAAAAAGTGAAAAATTAGGAAAACACATCACCTACATACAGATGGTGTTTTGCTAAACTCAGTGAAAGATCAGTTGTAAATCACAACTCTGATCATTTGTCTTATTCACACTATGATTTTCAGAGAAAAATGGAGAGTTGAGTGTTTGTTTGTTGTTGCAGATTTCAGATAGCCCAGCTATGAAGATCCATCAGACAGTCCTGGCAGAATTCATTCTTGTGGGTTTTCAGTTTACACACGTGTGCAGACATTCCTTTTAGTCATGTTCTTTTGCTCTACCTTCTTACCCTTCACAGGTAACCTGGCTATCATGGGTCTGACATGGGGGGGCAGATATCTCCACACCCCTATATACCTTTTCCTCAGTGCACACTCTCTGAGACCTGCTATCCATTGACCATCATCCCCAATATGCGGGCAGATTTACTAGCCAAGCACAGAAGCATTTCGACCATACGTTGTAGCTTACAGATGTGTTTTTCCTTGGGACTCAGTGGTACTGGTTGTATCACCCTCACTTTGATGGAATATGAGCACTTTCTGGCCATCTGCAACCCATTCAGGTATCCACTACTTATGACCAACACGCTATGTACACAACCTGTGGTCTCTACTTGGGTTGGAGGCTTCTTTATTTCTCTCATAGAAACTGCACTGATATTATGGAGCTTTTTGTGTAGGCCTAACCTTGTCAAACACTTCTGCCATATGCGGGCAGTTGTGAGGCTGTCTTGTCTAGACTCGACCTCACAGAGTTTGTGTAACGCCAATGTCGGTGTCAGGCCTGCTGGGCACATTTTGCTGATCATCCTCATTTATGTTTTCATTCCTTCCATTGTTCAAAGCATCCCTTAGCTGAGGGCAAGCAGAAGGCATATTCTGTCTGTGCCTCCTACCTCACAGTGGTCATCATTCACTTTGGTTTTGCATCTGTTGTTTATCTGCAGCCAGAAGCCTCAGGGGGTGTGACACTGTCATTGCCATCCCTTATGTGTTCATTACTCCTGTCCTTAGCCCCTTCATATTTAGCCTCGGGAATAAGACATAGAAAATGCTTTTAGAAAGGTGCTTAGAAAAATCAAACTCCATGAATAGTCTTGGATTGATGTGGCAAATTGAATGTCCGCAGAGGTCAGTGAGGTATGTGACCTGTGACCTCTGGAGAAGCTTGTGTCATTTGCCTTTTGCAGAAGCTGGCATCAAGCAACTGAGACTGGGACCTAAGCTATCACAAGTGTTTATTAATTCATTGAGAAAATTTCCAACTCTTAATGCTGTCCAATTCTACCTACTTGACTATTAGCTACCAGCTGTCCAGCTACTTCTACTATCTGTTCCTACAGAGAATAGACTGCTCTCCGCTTGTCAACCTCCAGTTGTCCTGCATCAGGAATGGAGTGGGAAAAGAAAGACTGTGGAAGGAAGAGCAATGCCTGTGATGATTAAAATATCTGAAGATACAACACATGAGTTTTTCTAGGCAATGTTGTGAAGCCCTGAGTTGTGTTTTCCAAGAGAGGAACCATTTCTAGCAAGAGATGTACTATGTGGAGGTGGCCAGCTGGCTGTGCATATCTGGCTTGGTATCTACCTTTGTGAAGTGCCCACATCATACTGATTACCGAGAGTGTTCTTAGTAACACAGTTCATGACACCGTCTCTCAGTGATTCCCAGCTGCTAACTTCTGAATATGGAGAATGACTTGGAACATCAGTCAAACCAGCAATCTGTACAGTGGAGCACACGAGTTCTGTGATTGGGGGAGTCCATGGATGACAGTTGGAAATAACTCCATTTTTAAAAAGATTAATGTATTCAAAAGCAAATTAAAAAACACATTATGATATTGAGGTTTTTGACAAAGGAAGACATTTGGGAATAATTTTGACAGTCTTCCAATGCATAATGAAGGAAACCAGACAAACACAGGATCAAGATTTTATACCACCCAGAAGAAAATTGGAAGCAATTTGGAGGTTTTAATACAGAAAATAGTGGTGATTTTACTGAAAATTCAGATATACTCGCCTAGGGAATTTTCTGAATGTGTTTCTCAATTCTGCTGCTAACCCAATCTGTGCCCTCTCACGAACTATATAATTTTTGTACCAACATTTGGCTTATATAAGATATTATGAGAAGTGCTGAGTAATTTCTGAACTCCATCATCTGCAGAAATGTTATGGAGGTAAAAAGATAATAATGAAAATCATGCATAAATTGATTAAGGTTACTTCTTGTCATAACTCTGGTTTCTTCCCTGGAACCATTTTGGTAGCACATGTGCAAGAAGAATAATTACACTCTTCAGTCTGTGGTCACTGCCTTGTGATGTGTTTTTTCCACTTTCTCATTCAATTCCACCCTGAGAATTGATCGTACAATCTAGGGGAGCTGGAAAATCTTAGAAATAGATACTAGGGTCTCCCTAGTGGCACAAGGAGTTAAGCACAGCACTATGAAGCTGTCCGCAGCCTCTGCAGCATGAGTTTGATCCCCAACCCACCAGTCAGGGAGCTACCTGTTGTGGTTTTTGGAGTCTGTGGGTTTGGAGTGTGGGGCCCTTGGGTTCACTCTGGGAAAGGTTTCATCAGAGCTCCCTTTCAGCGATATGCGGCGAGTTTCCTGGCGAGTTTCTCCACGAGACAGAGACATTAGTTATATTTAAAGGGCAGGTTTATTAGGGAAGGGATAAAACAGTTAAAGACGCTTGCATAAACACAAGCGGGCAGGAAGAGCTTTCCCAGAAGGGACAGGTTTGCCAAGAGAGACCTGCATGGTTGCAGGCTGGCGGCCTTGACAGGTCACGGGCAGGCAGTAGGCTGCTGCCCTGCAGAGGGAGAGAACCTGAGAAAAGAGGCACCTGCATAGTCACAGGTGGGCAGTGGGAGTGCTGCCCCAGCCATTGCAGAGACTGCACTGATATAATCTTCTTTTTGGGAGGGGCTCATTCCTTGTGAGCTGTCATTTGGTTGTTAATTTTGGATAACTATGTAGAATTTGAAAGGGACCAATCTCCATATCTTTACCTTTGGGGTCTGTTGGGCTCAATCTCCATATCTTTAGACCATGCCTGGGATGCCTTGGGATGCCTTGGGATGCCTCGGGATACTAGTGTTGACCTCATGGAGATCTAATGATACAATGATTAAAGATGACAAAGCTGAATTATAAATATTAAACTGGTTAGGAGACTAGATCTTAATTGTTTCCAATACTGGAAGAAATGATAGTTGGTGACAGGATAGAGGTGTTAGCTAACGTTACAATGGCAATCACATTGCGTTATAAATTTAATAAATGAATGGTATGCACCTTAAACTTGCTCAATGTTATACACCAAGTATATGTCATTAAAAATAAATGAATAAATAAATAACTAGGATTTTTATAATTTAATGGTTTTCTGCAGAAAAATCTATATCAAATTTCTCAATTTGAATCATTTAAGTCTTTCCAGGTTACAGCAAGAGCAAGATGTAAAAGCATTCTATCATCATTTCTGTTCCACATTATTTTAACATTTAGTGCAGTAAGAAAACAAAAGTAATAAAATATACAAGGGTTATAAAAAAAGGTAAATGATCATTTCTCATGAGTAATATCATTTGTATGTTAAAAAATCTAAAATGACCTGCAGATAAATTGCTATAATTAATAATCAAAATATTGCTGGGATGGTACATAAATAAATTGTATTTATATAAATTAGAATATGGTTTAAAAAACTGTATCATATATAGATACTTCAACAATACCAAAACATTTAGAATAAATAAAATAGTGATTACAAAGATGTTTGCCTCACTAAGCTATTTGGATGACCATCTATATCTATGCTTTATTTTATAATATAGATATTGAAATAAATCCATAGCATGAGAGAAAACATACACAACAATTTTTGGAAAAGACACTTTTATTTGAGATATAAAGTCCCTACCCCCCAAAAATAGATAATCCAATCAGTAGCAAAAATGTCCACGAGATAGGAATAGATCTTTCATAAGAGAAAATAGATTATTTATAAATAGATCAGTCCTACACCTCAATTACCAATGCTCCAAAATTAAAGTGGCTTAAATGAAATCAAATTTTATTTCTCTCTTACACAACAATGCAGTGATAACAAACTGTTTTCTAAAGTAATTGAAGGCTCACCTTAGGAGCATGCAAAGTTAATCCACAGCTTACTTTCAGTAAACACAATAAAACGGACATTAAAGTCCCCAGTTAGGGGCCTCCCTGGTGGCACAAGAGGTTAAGATGCAATCTATGCAGCTATCCACAGCCACTGCAGCACAAGTTCGATCCTAGGTCAGGGTGCTTACCCACATGATGCGGCAGAACTCTCCTGACTCGCCTGCTGTTCCCCTCAGCAGTGTATTTCAGTCAATCTGCCTGTTCTGTTTCCCATTCTGTCTCTGGTAAATCCTCTCACCCCCCATACCTCTGGCCTGTACCCCAGTTCTTGTATGCATAAATAAATAATTCTTAAAAAAAAAACCCAGTTAGATATCATAACACATCTACTTAAAAGGATAAAAGCTGGATTAACTAGTGTTGATGATGCTGTGGATTAACTTCGCATACTCCCAAGGCAAGCCTTCAGTTACTTTAGCAAAGTTTGTTATCACTGCATTGTTGTGTAAGAGAGAAATAAAATTTGATTTCATTTAAGCCACTTTAATTTTGGAATATTGGTAATTGAGGTGTAGGACTGATCTATTTATATAGATAATTAAATAATCTATTTATAAAGATAATTAAATAATCTATTTAAGATAATTAAATGCTCTATTAAGATAATTAAATAATCTATTTATAAAATTCTTAGCAAAATGTCTAGTACAGAGTAAGCAGTCAGTGAATGCAGTTGCATATTGTTATCTGCATCCATAGTGAAAAGCATAAAAGCAGCTCCTCTAAGGTCTTTCTCCAAGAACGTATCGGCTATGTTTTCTTCTATATATTTACATATTTCATGCTTTCAGGTTTGATGTTCAAATCTTTTATCTTCAAATAATTTGATAAAAATTCTGTCTGCTCCTGGATATCTTTTCTGATATCCTGAACTTACCTTTCCGCAATTAATTGAAAATCTAGAATTCATTGAGTTTCTTCATGATTGTTCTTTTAAGCTCTGGTCCATTTGCTCCTCTAATCCAGTGTCATAAAACTTGGTCTGGAATGTTACTTTTCCCTCTCAACATCTCCATGCTATGCACCCTAGTTTGAATGTTCCTTCACATGTATTTTGTCTTCTATTTTCCCCCAGTAGGCGGAGCTGTGGCTTTAGTTTTGGTCTATTTATTTATTTATTTATTTATTTATTTATTTATTTAATTGATCTATCTATCTATCTATCTATCTATTTATTTATTTAATTTTTATATTTCCCCATACAATTGCACCCCCTTATTTTGACCCCAATCCCTCCTCCACCCCCCCGTAGTGTGTCTCTGGTTTATAGTTGTTTGTTGATTTTGATTTTTCTTTCTTATAGTTATTCTTTTTCCTGGTCCCTTATTTAGGTTTTCCAGATTCCTGCAATGAGTGAGACCATCCGGTATTTTTCTTTTTCTTTCTGGCTTATTTCACTGAGCATGATCCCTTCCAGCTCCATCCATGTTGCTGCAAATTGCATGAGTTTATCTTTTTTGATTGCTGAGTAATATGCCATTGTGTATATGTGCCACATCTTCTTGATCCAGTCATCTGTTTTTGGGCATTTGGGTTGTTTCTGAAGCTTAGCTATTGTAAATAGTGCTGCTACAAACATAAGTGTGCAGGTGCCCTTTGGAATTAAAGTTTCTGTGTCCTTTGGATAAATACCTAGGAGTGGAATTGCTGGATAGTAGGTTGAGGAATCTCCACACAGCTCTCCATAGTAGGTGGACCAGTTTGTACTCCCACCAGCAGTGCAGGAGAGTTCCTTTTTCTCCACATCCTCGCCAACATTTGTTGTTGCTAGTTTTTTTAATATGCGCCTTTCTCACTGGTGTGAGATGGTATCTCATTGTAGTTTTGATTTGCATTTCCCTGATTACAAGTGATGTTGAACATTTTTTCATATGTCTATTGGCCATTTGCATTTCCTCTTTGGAGAAGTTTCTTTTTAGCTTTTCTGCCCATTTTTTTGACTGGATTATTTTCTTTGTTTTTGTTGAGTCTCATTAGCTCTTTGCAGATTTTTGTGATCAGTCTTTTATCATTAGTGTTGTGTGCAAAAATGTTCTCCCAGTTGGTGGGGTTTCTCTTTGTTTTGGTTATTGTCTCTTGCTGTGCAGAAGCTCTTTAATTTGATGTAGTCTCAGCTGTTGATCTTTGCCTTCACTATCACTGCTTTGGGTGATGTGTCTGTAAAGAGGTCTTTGATGTGCATATCATGTAGTGTTTCGCCTATATTTCCTTCTATATATTTTATGGTTTCAGGTCTTATGTCTAGTTCTTTAATCCATTTTGAAAAAAAACTAGCAACAACAAATGTTGGCAAGGATGTGGAGAAAAAGGAACTCTCCTGCACTGTTGGTGGGAGAGCAAACTGGTCCAACCACTGTGGAGAGCTGTGTGGAGATTTCTTGACCTACTAAAGATAGAGCTTCCATATGATCCAGCAATTCCACTCCTAGGTATTTACCCAAAGGACACAGAAACATCAATTCCAAAGAGCACCTGCACCCCTATGTTTATGGCAGCACTATTTACAATAGCTAAGCTTTGGAAACAACCCAAATGCCCCAAAATAGATGACTGGATCAAGAAGATGTGGCACATATACACAATGGCATATTACTCAGCAATCAAAAAAGATAAACTCATGCATTTTGCAGCAACATGGATGGAGCTGGAAGGGATCATGCTCAACGAAATAAGCCAGAAAGAAAAAGAAAAATACCGGATGGTCTCACTCATAGCAGGAATCTAGAAAACCCAAATAAGGGACAAGGAAAAAGAATAACTATAAGAAAGAAAAAATCAAAATCAACAAACAACTATAAATCAGAGACACACTATGGGGGGGCGGGGAAAGGAGGGATTGGGGTCAAAATAAGGGGGGTGCAATTGTATGGGGAATATTAAAATAAAAAAAATTAAAAAATTAAATAAATACTCTTACTCCTAAAAAAAAGTAAAATAAAAACCTATGTGAAAAAAGTGGACTAGATAAACAGAGGAGGATGCAATAAGAAGTTGAAACAAAGGGATACAGGATGTTCTCAATATGTGAGTATGAGTGTATGTGTGTGTGTGTGACTTGAAATGGATAATCACCTCAAGCTTGTGAGATTGTTGTAGGTAGGGTGAATCCCTACTTTATTACAGTATATCTTATAGTATGAATTTAAAAGCACAAGTCTTGAGTCCTGGGATCTTAAACTGGTTCACTTAAACTCTACGAGGCTGTCTCCTCTTCTGTAAAATGTCAATTGTACCTTCTCACTAGGTCATTGCTTTAAAAGAGATTTAACAGGTGAAAATAATTAATATATTTGACACATAACAGATGTACAAATTATTGTTTGAATCATGATCCTAACATCTCTTTGTTCACATTTCCTTTCCTGCTTTCCCCAAAAGGATATTCTGAGTTAATGATAAGCATGATTAGATCTACTTGTTGCAAGGACATCCCCTGGGAATGGGGAATCCTCAGGGAGAGAAGCTGTTTTGACAAAAGCAGATAAGATTCACCTCATGGGGCTATGGTATGGAAGGGGTTTCTTGGTGTCATTTGAACATCACCTTTGCTCAGAATAGAAGTTTCTGAGGTGGATCTTCAGGTTCTTTATCCTGTAGGCAGGTCAGTGGAGACAATCTGGTCTCTGGTCCATGGATGCTGGTCTCATGGTAAGCCTCTTCAGGTGAGTGGGGAAACCCACCTTCATGAATCTCTCCTTGAGCTTGATTCACAGCAGATTCTTTGCAGGTAATGGAGGCCAGTGACTGATTCTTTGGGCAGGAGGATACACAAGTTGCCCTGAGCTCAAATTCTTTCTTCAGTGCTTATTGTAGACTTGTGTGTAAAAAGGCATCATTAGGGTTGTATACACACTAGGGATTACTGTTGAGCAAGTTGTTTCTTCTTCTGTATTCATGTTTGTGAGTGTCCTGTGGTGTCTAAGAAGAGTCAGGATTATTTGGGAAGAAAAATTAAGGTCAGGACTCAAGACACTTGATCTCTAGGCTTGGCTCTATGTGACTTCAAGTAAGTCACTTTCCTCTTGGCTTTGTTGCCTGATACAGCATATTAAATAATATCCATCAAGTCATCCACCTTAAGTTTTAATAGTGAGTATGTGTTTGTATGCCCATATGCAAGCTTATGTGGCAGTGAATATGTGATGCTGGCATGAATATATGTATGGTGCATATATGTACACATTTATGTGTTATCTGAGTGTAAATATACATTAATAATATATGTGCATACCTGATATATTTGTGGGTATCATCACTAATGTGCAGTGCATGGTTTTGTATGTATAAAATGTGCAAAATTACATGAGTGCTTTGTATATGACATGTATGTCCATATATGGCATGTATACAGGTGTCTGCATCTCTGTGGCTATGTGTGCATTGTATGAATGTGTATATTGTGCATACAACAAGCATGCGTGTGAGAATGGACATGTCCAGCTCTGGACGCAATGTAACAAATACCTTACTGACGTTTGATAACTGTTTACATCAGAGTTCCTTTTCAAGTTACACTAGGCATAAAGAAACAAGAACCCTCCTCATCCTGCCTTCTGAAGGAGTTTGTCATCCACTGGCAAGGTGCAAGGAACCAGCAGATCTATCAAGGATGTCATTCAGAATGGGTTCAACCAATGCAACCTCCTGGAGGGGTTTCATCTTCCTGGGTTTCTCCAGTTTTGGGGAGCTGCAACTTCTGCTCTTTGCATTGTTCCTCTCTCTATACCTCATCACCCTGACCAGCAATGTCTTCATCATTATTGTTATTAGGCTCGACAGCAACCTGCACACTCCCATGTACCTTTTCCTTTCCTTTCTGTCTTTCTCTGAAACCTGCTATACCTTGGGCATCATTCCCAGGATGCTCTCTGGCCTGGTCATGGGGGACCAGGCCATCTCCTTTGTGGGCTGTGCTGCCCAGATGTTCTTCTCAGCCTCATGGGCCTGTACCAACTGCTTCCTCCTGGCTGTCATGGGTTTTGACAGATATGTGGCCATTTGTGCTCCACTGCACTATGCCAGCCGCATGCATCCCACCCTCTGCGCCCAGCTGGTTGGCGCCTCCTTTTTGAGTGGGTACCTCTTTGGGTTGGGAATGACACTGGTCATTTTCCACCTCCCTTTCTGCAGCTCCCACGAGATCCAACACTTCTTCTGTGACACGCCACCAGTGCTGAGCCTGGCCTGTGGAGATACGGGCCTGAGTGAGCTGGGGATCCTCATCCTCAGCCTGCTGGTGTTGCTGGTCTCCTTCTCCTTGATCACCATCTCCTATGCCTACATCCTGGCAGCCATCCTGAGGATTCCCTCTGCTGAGGGGCGGAAGAAGGCCTTCTCCACCTGTGCCTCACACCTCACAGTGGTCATTGTCCACTATGGCTGTGCCTCCTTCATGTACTTGAGGCCCAAAGCCAGTTACTCTCTCCAGCGGGATCAGCTCATTGCTGTTACTTACACTGTGGTGACCCCTCTCCTCAATCCCATTGTTTATAGTCTAAGAAATCGTGCTGTGCAGACAGCCCTGAGAAGTGCTTTCCACGGGAGGTTTCTGGGTAAAGGATGAAGCTACCCAGGTTGATACTCCTCCATGTAGGCTGAACACAGGCCAGGACCCCGGGCCAATGAGCAGACAACCAGCCCAGCCTGTGGGGAAGCCCTATCCTTCCTTCTGCATGTCCCCCAAGGCTCCTGGGAGTGCAGGGGCATGGCTTCCCACTCTGTCTATTGAGCTCAGAACCTGAATTTTCACCTTCTGCTTTGTAGATGTCACCCCTGGTGACTGAAACCCAATTCAGTAAGAATTCTCTGACCAAGGTAAATAAGATGAGGAAAGTTTGGTGTGTTCAAGTTCAAGTAGAGTCAGTTGGGGCCCACATCAGGGATGCTGTTGAAATTTCTTAATTCACGACATAATTGGACTGAAATTCAGTTTAGGAAATCATTTTGAATGCCTTGCTAATTGAAAAGGTAGGTTATTGCCTCTGTCCTCCCTGGTGTCTTTCCTCTTTTTATTCTATTGTCCTCTCTGTCTCTGCCTCATTGTTAATTATTACTTTGCCCTCCTCCTTCTAAGTTCGGTTGCCTAGTTTGATAAAGTCTATTTCAGAAAATACATTTATTTGCTATTTTCCTTGATCATTGTTGTTGCTTTTAATGGTCTCATCATCTCAGGTTTCAGGTTTCCTCTCTTGGGGTGCTCCCTAGCATTGGTGCGTCCTTGACAGTCTGTGCAGAACTATCTTGCCTATTCACTTCCCACCACCTCACTTCCCACCACCTCACTTCCCACCACCAGTGTATCATGTGTGGTGCTGGACATTTCTGGGGATGAATAAAGGTGTCATCAACTCACACAGCTGTCAGGTAGGAGTTGGAGTACAGGATCTGCAGTTACTCTGTGACCCTGGGTTTGTTCCCCTTTTCTGATTTCCAACATTTTCGTCTGTGAAGTGGTCATGACTGCACAGTTCCACAATGCTGATTGACCTGATCATGCATGTAAACAATTTATCATGATACTTGGATCATAATGATCTCCACATAAATGCCAGCCTCCACTGTTGACAACGTGCTAAGCGAAGTGATATTAGTTAATGAGAGGTTAACCTGGGGGGAGGATGAGAGAAGGCTTTATGACTAAGGTAGCACTTGGACTTGATCCTGAAGGATGGATGAGTTTTGAATGCAAGTAAGGATATTTTAAGAAGAGAGAGCAGAATAACCAAAATCTTGGTGGTAAAACAATGCTAGTCTGTGTTAGACGCAGTGTCCAGAGGGTTTGGAAATGTCTGGCAAGTGATGTTGAGAAGGTAGCTTGGGTTAAGACTTCTTTGCCAGTGGCAGTTTGAAGACCCTCCTTCAGAACTGATCTTTTCAGCAGTAGGAGTTAGGACAGAGAGTGTTGGCATCTGGGAAGTCGTGCTGAGACCAATCCAGCAGCAGAGAGGATGGAAGGTCTTAGCAGGAGAGACCAGGGCGAGGGGAGCAATAAGAAATCCATTGCCATCATCCCATAGAAAGGCCAAGAGACCTGAACACGGATAGTGGTTCTGGAACCTGAAGAAAATGAGCACGTAAGAGATTTTGAAAAGACAGGACTCACATGATTCAGCCTGAGTTAGAAGTGGGAAGAACTTATATTGTGGGGTTGTGTTTTTAGATAGGAATCTTTCTTTTTCCATCCTCTTAGGGGAGAAACATATTTTCTACTTAGAATTTAGTGGTAAACAAAGTCAGGAGGAAGGAAGGACAGGTTGACAAAAAGTAGAAGGGTTGTTTAGAGGGTAGAAGGGCCTGGGTCAGGGGAGAAAAACCATGGGATCCTTTTCACTGCAGGCTGGAAGTAACCCCCATGCGCTGTTTGAGGCTGATCAAAGCAAATTTATTTCCAGAATCTATCCTGATAATATTCTATCCCTATAACATTCCCTAAATGTGCACTGAATAGTGGTGGGTAAAGGTGTTCCAAAAATTGCCGAGTAATACTGAAAGAGCTGCCTATCTCCGAAATGTAGTGGTCTTAACTATGAAAGAGTAAAGCAATTACTTGGTGGGACTTTTTCAGAATAGATGTTTCCAAGAACTATTTCCATAGACTTTGACACAGGTGTTTTGTGTGGACAGGCAGAAATCGCCTACAAAATCTCCAAAAGTGAGCCACGTTCTTTCCCTTGATTAAGAATGTGACCTTGTACTTTAAAAGGACAAACCCTCTTTCCAGGCACATGCACATGTGTGCACACACATGAACACACACACAAACACATGCACAAGACACACAGAGATACACATGGGCATTCACGCACACATGCATAGATACACACAGAGTCTCTCTGGTGTGAATATACACCATACACCCAACTCATAGTTCTTTAAGGACCAATTAAGACTGGAGGCTCTGGAGTTAGACTTCAGTTTTGAAGCCTCATCTTGTGTGTCCTAGGGCAAGATTAGTGAAGTTTAATATACAGTCTTTAGAACAGAGTCTGACATTCAGAAGTCCTCGATGTAGCCATCTGTTATTATCTGGGGTTCCTGGACAGTGTCACTTTAGACTGCCCTAGCTGTGGCTGAGCTGATGTTGGGGGAGCAGGAACCAGCAGTGTGTAGCATGGTACAGCTCTTGGCATGACCAGACAGGGGAAGATGCGCTGTTACCTGTACAGTCCTAATAGGGAAAGTTAGATGATGGGTCTAGATGGAGAGACCTGAGAAGATTAAATACTGGAAAAGACAAGGTTGGGGGTGGAGGCTGTGGAGGTGCAGCACTTTGACATGAGCAAAGAAATGACCTAAATTCTCACCAGCAAATGACACCATCAACTTTTATCAATCAGATATTTGAAACTGTTCAGACCAATCTGGGCCTGAAAATTGTTCAGAGAGAGCATCACTTCTTCTTATCCCTTAATTCTTAGTTTTTTTTTTAAAGATTTATTTATGCATATAAGAGCTGGGGTACAGGCCAGAGGTGTTGGGGGGGAGAGGATTCACCAGAGACAGAGTGGGGAGCAGAACAGGCAGATGTACTGAAACACATTGCTGCGGGGAGCAGCGGGCGAGGCAGGAGAGGTCTGCTGCACCATGTGGGTAGATCCCTGGCCAGCTGGGGATCGAACTCATGCTGCAGAGGCTGTGGACAGCTTCATAGGTTGCGTCTTAAACCCTTGCACCACCAGGGAGAACCCTTAATTCTTAGTTTTATAAACAATATCCTATTGACTCTTTACACTTAGAAGAATTGGAAATAAATAAAAACAAATATTCTTTTTATCACCTTAAAAGTTAAGAGGAAACTAGAGAACCAGAAGATGCTCTGCTGCAACTTTGCCACTTTGAGAGTAACAACATCCAGTGTAATGGGAAGTTAGAAAAAGGGCCCGATTAAGAAGGAGATGGTTGCTATGCTGATTTTCTCAGGGTGATTCTATTTTACAGAATAAAATATTGATGTTCCTCAGAATATCCAATATTTTTATTTTCAATTGTAAGAATTTAAACACATTCCAAAACTCAAGAAACACAGGGAATCAGCTTGGGTTTTATTTCTCTCCTCCATGATGGCACTTGTTTGCTGTGAGTTGTCCATATTGGACAACAATTTGCAGAGATGCAGCAGCCCCATGAGTCAATAACATTTTACTTCACATTTTCCCATGAAAAGGAAATACTTGAAAATATTTTTAAAAAATACTCTGTTCTGTAGTTAGGACAAAGCACGATAATAAAAATATGCAGTACCCAGCAAATAAAAAATAGAGTATTTGGTACTCTTCAGTAGTGGCTAATTGCAAAAAATAAGTACATAGTATCCTCTCTTCCAATTCCGTTAACACTTGTATCACCCAAAGTTGGATTTTATCTGGGTCTTGTAGTAAACATAATACACACACATACACACACACGACCCTCTTCCCACCCTCGATGCTTGTCTGTTCCCCCTACACAAAGGTTTTCTATAAATCTTATCAGTTGCCAAAGAAGGAGTTGGTGAAGCCAACATAGTCGTAGCCGGCCTGGTGGCCTCGACCCCGAGGGTCCACATACTGCTGCATGTGTGAGGCGCAGAATGACACTTGTTCCGGGGTTAGGGCCTGAGAACAAAGAGAGAGAGAGAGAGAGAGTTGTAGAGACTGAAAGTAGCTCGCTCCCGTGGCTTCCATTACTCCCTAAACTCAAGGGTGGAGAAACTTCAGAAGAAGCTAGCCCCGTTCCTATCATATACTTTCCTCATAAATTTATAATTTCTAAGAAATAAGACCAACTCATCTCTTCACCCAGCTCAGACCTGAAGACTTCCATCTTACTTTGACTACACTTTTTATCTTAATTCCTAATTTTGGCTTAGTAAATAAATAAGATGAGAAATCGCTTTAAAAACAGACTTGTAGGTTTGGGATTGAGCTTAAGATCATTAGAACACATTAGTGTTGTGTGCAAGGCCGTGTCTAAGCAAAAAATAAATAAATAATACACAAAAAAGAGGGGACAAAGGGGTGGAGGCAACCAGACCCGAGATGAGCAAACTCAGATAGTGAAGAGTATAGGAAGAGTGGACTCAGCTGGACCCGGACCTGTTTCATGTCTTCTTTGGTGATGTAGGCTTTGCCCTCTGCCAGGGACTGGAACGCATTCTCTATTTCATCGCTGGACTTGATATTCTCTGACTCCTTGTCGATCAGGAATGAGGTGTAGTCCTCTAGTGAGATGTAGCCCTTCCTGTGGGAGAAGTGGATCAGGAGCTGTTCTCAAGATGAGAGAAGAAGATAAGCCCCTTCCTCTTCCTGGTAGGTGTTTCAGAGCTGGTGGGAACTTGGATCACCAAGGGCCTCTTCCAATTCAACTAGAATTTCCTTGAATCTTTATAGCCAAATATACGGTATTTCCTAAATCCCAACCTCTCAATTCACATGCTCAGCTTGACACTTTCTATGGAGTTTGGGAAATTCTCATTAGCACCAATCCCAGGTACCTCAAGATCTTCAAGCTGAGCTGAAGATCTCGGTTTCTGGTCTTCTTAGGCCCTTGGTATTACAAAGAGTTAGGCCCTAGTAGTGATCGGATGCATCTACTATATTTCCCCACTCTCACAGCAACAACCACCCAACCCCCATGAGTAGACCTCTGGATCATTTATGACCCCTTGGGATCGCACACAAATGAAGGGTTTCTTATCTCAAGTTATAAACCAGCTGAAGTTCATAGATCAAATATGAGCTGAGAATTAAGCAAATTACAGAGGGGGTTCCTTAGTTCCAGGTACTGCCTCAAGCTTCTGGGAGAATCTGCTACAGCAGCAACAACTGCCGGATACATTTACGTAGCCTGTGTGCTCCTATTCTTAAGATTAGCTAAGTGCATGTTCTAGGGATCATTTTACTCTGTCCCTCCCAGACCCATTCCCTGCTAGGATCTGGTCCTTGGTTCTCTTACCTCCCTGGGTCGACGGCATCAAGGAACTTTTCAAACTTGGGCTCAGGTTCACCCTCCTCTACCATGGGCAAGTAGTAATTGAGTCCTCTCAGGCAGGACCGGAAATCTTTGTGTGTCAAACGCCCCGTCAAATTTTCATCGAAGTGTCTAAAGAACAAAAACATTTTCTCAAGCGTAATACAGAACTGGATTAGAATAGAAAAGAATAAGTTGCATCAGCTTTGGCTCTATTAACATGTTATAAAACTGTCAGAGAACTGAATGGAGCACTCCTGTGTTCCTGAACTATTTTAGACATAATGGATGGAAGGAAAAGCATAAAATGTTGAACATGAAAGAAATGTACATCCAGGAATCTCATAAATGTATTAAAAGTCATGATGGAAACTAAGTGACATATCTCCAGCTTCATTTAAGATTTTAGGGGCTTCCCGGGTGGCGCAAGGGGTTAAATGCAGCACCATGAAGCTATCTGCAGCCACTGCAGCACGAGTTCAATCCCCGGCCAGCCAGGGAGCTAACACACATGACACAGCAGACCTCTCCTAACTCTCCCGCTGCTCCCCTCAGCAGTGTATTTCAATAGGTCTGTCTGTTCTGCTCCCCACTCTGTCTCTGGTGAATCCTCTTACCCCCCCCACATCTCTGGCCTGTACCCCAGCTCTTACACACATAAATAAATAAATCTTAAAAAAAAAACTTTACCAAGCCACATTATGGAAAAGATATTAGCTATTTGGAAATTAACTAAAAAGTAGTTATTTCTATATTTCATTACATGGAGTTAACTGGAAAACAAAGGGCCAATCAAGCATGAAATTATACTCACTTATAGGTGGTGCTAAACTCCTTGAGTGTCTCCTCACTCACACCAATGGTGTCTCTGGAAAGAAAAACACGAGTGAACCCATGACATAAAGCAACAAAACAAAACAAAACCCAGCAGATAACAGGCCACATGGAACAGAGGGGAATTTTAGTGACTACCATGCCATCTGGGTCATCTGGTTCAGGGGTTGGCAAATTATGGCCCATCGGCCAAATCTACAAACGTGTGCTCTTGTATATTCAATAAGCTAAGAATGTTTTTTTGCATTTATCAGGGCTGAAAATAATCGAAAGAAGACTATCTCATTAAACATAAGAATTATATGAAATATAAATTCAGTGTCCACAGATAAAATTTTACTGGAGCACAGCCATGCTCACTTATTTATGAATTCCCAATAGTTGCTCTCATTCTATAACAGCAGAGTTGAGTAGTTGCAACAGAGGCTCTGCGGCTCACAGTCTAAAATATTTATTATTAGGCTTTATTATTTTTTTTTTAAAGAATGCTTTGCAAGTCCCTTATCTAGATAGTAATGCTGCCAAAATGCTTTGGTAACCTAACGCTGCTTTGATCTCATTTTGGAAAAAAAAAAAGAATTTGTTCCTCAGCTCTTTTATCCAGTATCTCAAGCTCTTGCCCCCAGAGTAGAGGCCCGAACCCAAACCCTGCCCCGTGGCCTCATTCAGCCTGGAGAGGGTCTGCAGTACTTGGCTTGGATCTGCTGCTCCAGGTTGTGCTGCATCCGCATCCCGAGCTGATAGAGCTGGTCCCACTGCTGGGCCAGCCCAATGGTGCTGTACTTGATATCCAGGATCAGAGCCTCTTCTAAGTTGTCTCCCAGGTCCTCGATCTTGGTCAGCTGGCGCTTCATTGCCTGGATCTCCTTCTGCTTCCTCTGGAAAAAGATGGAGAAGAAAGACTGTCACTCAGTGCACCAGCTCTAAACACAGGGATGGAAAGACAAAGAGACACCGAGGAGCCTGAGTTTTCCCTAATTGTCCCTTCTCAGTTCTTTGCAAGAATCTTATCCTCTGTGAAAAAGGAATGACCCAAACCACTGTAATCAGATTTTATGACAAATTTCTGCACCTAGGCCATGCTTCCTCAACAGGGGAATAGTTTTCACCAAGAGGGGAGGAGTAGACTGGTTCTGCTGAGGGGATGGGGGTGAAAAATTGTTAGATATTCCAATGGCTTGTGGTCCTCCTATGTGACAGCATCTTATTTTTTAGTATTTAAGTTCTCACAGGAGAAAACTACATTGAATTAGTTAAATGTTCCTCATGGGTAATAATGAAAATAAGGTTAAGAAACTCTGTGCTCACCCACTGTTTCATTCAGTTGTTAAGCGACCATCTATATGCAATTGTGTTCTCTCACCACATCATAATTTTTCAATGTTCTAGGCTATAGGCGAGGAGCTCTGGCATTCGTTGCCTTATTCAATCATTATAGTAATTATAATGTAGGTATTATAAACTCCCCAGTATAGAGAGAAAAACTGAAATTCAGAGATTAAGTAAGCTGATGTCCATATCCATGCAGTGATGGCCAGTGGTTAAATGTGAATTGCTGGCAGGATTGGGACCTTGAATGTCAGGTCAGGGAGTTTTCCTGAAAGTATCATGAGGGTACCATTTTGTGTCTTCTTGTGCATTCCTTATGATCCTGACAATATCCTCAGCTAATGAAAAAACCTTACTTACTTTATTTGCTTCCAACTGGGATTCCAAAGTTCCTGTTTCCTTCAGCAAAGATCTAATTAAGAAGCAAACGAACATATTACTTATAATATCAAAGGTCAATATTTTAGACAGACAGATCAACTCAAAGCCCTGTACTTCTCTACCCTATTTCTCCAGCCAGAAGCCTTCCTTGAAATAAAGTTTCCCCTCATATTTCCATGAAATCAAATGCTTTGGTGTTTTAGCAATCCTGCCAGACAGATGTGAATGGAAATAATGCCTTGATTCCTTTCTGCTGATGAGAAGGCCTCCATCCCTCTCTCCTAGTTTTCAGTCTTAAATACACTCTTAACCTAATATAGGCAAGGCCCTGCTTATTGGGGTGAAGGCCAGAATGAGATATACCTGCTTCTCCTTTTCATCCCACATTTTTATTTAGGCACCATTAGATTGAGATGACATAAGATATGTCAGTACTAAGGTCTCTGTAGGGTAAAGAAAATATCAGGCTTTTCTGCCCTTCCGCCAACAGGATAGATGATGGATCCTTGTCCTGAATGCATGCCTGATGGCGGGCACCTGGAATAGGGTGTAGGCATAGGTAGATGGGATTCAGCTGAGCTAAGACTGTGCTTTTAAGGGCGGCGTCACAGGGACGCCAGCAGCAGCAGCAGCCGAAGCAGCAGCAGCAGCAGCAGCAGCAGCAGCAGCAGCAGCAGCAGCAGCAGCAGCAGCAGCAGCAGAAGCCGAAGCAGCAGCAGTAGAAACCGAAGCCGAAAGAGAAGCCGAGAAGCAGCAGAACAAACACCAGAGAGCCCAGATAGAGTAAAGACTTGCTGGGGGCTGGGAGGTCTGCCAGCCTCCCAGCCCCCCAGCCAGCACCCCTGCCTGCCATATGCCTGGTGAACCCCAAATAAAAAACCTGCAAAACTACTGAGGACTCTGATTCCTCCTTTACCCGGTCTGCATGGGATCAGAAAACCTGCACTGTGTCCGTCCTGCCTTACAATTGGCGTAAGTCGGCAGGATCCATGCAGACGGGTATGGAGCCCTCCAAAGACCTGGAGGGACTAAGGAGAACAGACTGTGTGTTTGCCTGTGACGACGCTGGAGGCGCCATGGCGGCACAGAAGATGGATACGGTCCGGGAGCTGTGGGACGAGACCTTGCATGGAGGAGACGCCCGAGAGGACCAGGCAACGATACCGGAAAGGACCACCCAAGGACACCGGAAAGGACCAGGCAATGACCCCTGAGGCAGCAGGCCGCTGCTGACGCAGGGAGAGGCCAATGGACATGGACTGATAAACTTGGACTGACAATCCCGCCAGAAGGCGGAGGACCTTGGCAGGTTATGTTTTTTTTTTTTTTTTTGAGAATCTGAGGGTGGCCAGTGGGCCTAGATGGCCAAAAGCAGCCTGTGCATGCCCAGCAGCCAGGTGGAGGAGAAAAGCCAACTGAGAAGGCAAAAGCTGGTGCTGATGCTAAGTTGAGAAGCCCTAAGCGGCTGTTAAGCAGCCTGAGTATGCTGAAGACCTGTGAGTCTCGTAAAATCACCTGTGGGTGATGCCCTGCTCATTCTTGAGTGAGGGTGAGGAGCTGAGGAACCTGTCCTTGGGGGACGGGTGGGGAACGTGGCTTGGGGTGGAGCCCAAGCCACATGTAGAGTTTTGATCCCCAACCCATGTGCTTGTGCAGTGGGTTGGCTTGAGTGCAGGGGTCTGCGAGTCGCATGGGTGGCCGTGAAGGCCGAGTGTTGGAGCGACTGCAGACAGAAACTCTGAGGGTTGGCGATTACCCCCAACAGAATAAAATTGCCAATCCCAGAGCTAGTGCATCCTGGGGGTGGATGCTGTGTGTGCCTTGTAGCCGAGACTACAGCCAGAGAAGGCCAGGAAGCCTGACGGCTCCTGGTGTGTTATAGTAGATGCCGTGAGTGATTCCCCTCCCTCGTATGAGCAGTGCCTTCGGCAGCAGATTTGGTGGCTCATCTGCTGGTACCAATAATTGTCTTTTGCTCTAGGTTGGTGCCCTGCCTGGACTTATTTGTGTTCTATTGTATTTTGTTATATTGTATTTTGCTATATTTGATGTATTTGCTTTTGTGGGCCATGGCTGCATTGTTTGCTTAGAAAATTGTATATGTATGTATAGACTGTATGGCAGAAAACTCTGAGGGGGTGGACTGTAGGGTAAAGAAAATATCAGGCTTTTCTGCCCTTCCGCCATCAGGATAGATGATGGATCCTTGTCCTGAATGCATGCCTGATGGCGGGCACCTGGAATAGGGTGTAGGCATAGGTAGATGGGATTCAGCTGAGCTAAGACTGTGCTTTTTAAGGGCGGCATCACGGGGACGCCAGCAGCAGCAGCAGCAGCCGAAGCAGCAGCAGCAGCAGCAGCAGCAGCAGCAGCAGTAGAAGCCGAAGCCGCAGCAGTAGAAGCCGAAGCCGAAAGAGAAGCCGAGAAGCAGCAGAACAAACACCAGAGAGCCCAGATAGAGTAAAGACTTGCTGGGGGCTGGGAGGCCTGCCAGCCTCCCAGCCCCCCAGCCAGCACCCCTGCCTGCCATATGCCTGGTGAACCCCAAATAAAAAACCTGCAAAACTACTGAGGACTCTGACTCCTCCTTTACCCGGTCTGCATGGGATCAGAAAACCTGCACTGTGCCCAGTCCGCCCCTTACAGGTCTCCTATACTAATTCTTCCATGATAACATAACACAACAGACAGGATAACATAAAATACTAACCCATCCAGAAAATAAGCCCTGGACATGGAGGTCCGGAACAGGAGTCAAAAGAGAGAAAAGGAAAATCACACATTAATAAGGATTACTTCAGTGATCTTTCTCCAGATTTAGGAATAGTCTAAACACTTTGGAGCCAGAAAATATTCCTGTCCCAACCACTGCTCTCCCAGCCTCCCCCATACAATGACCTCAGAGCCTTCTGTAATTTGTGCCTTAGGATAGAGAGCACAGGGGTCAGACACAGTGGGGGACACTCCTGCCAGGGGCCAGGGACAGAGACCAGGTCAGAGGAGGGGCTGAATTTCCTCTGCTTCTAAACACATCCAGACGTGTCTCAACCATGATACAGGATTTCTTTTTATTTGTTGTCTGATTTACCCTCATTAGAGGGTTTGTAGTATATAGCATAGATTGTCCAAACCACCCATAAACTTTTCAAACTCCACAATTCTAACCCACCCACTGGATACAATCAACCCACTGGGACCATTTATTCTAATATATCACACCCTCTAAGTTTCCACTTTTCCAGTCAATATGTCCCAGATGTGACAAATGTTATTTTCACACATAGAGCATTTCACATGTAATAAAAACAACTGGCGTATGTTATCTCACTTGGCTCGCATCAGTTTCAGCAAACAGGAGCATAGTCACATCAGGTTAGGTGTTCACATTAGGCTCTACTTCTGCTTGTGTCAATAAACACACCTGCGACCTTGAGGGAGTCGATTTAGCTACTGAATTTTTTACACTTGGAAACAGAGGTAATAGGATCTGCTTTCTCTCTACACTTCCCAAGGTTGCTCCGCAAGTTCTTTATGAAGAGCAAAGTGACTTGCCAAGGAAGGGACTGTTACTATTTTTGGACTGTAATTATAGGCAATGGGAAAAGGAGAAACTGCAGAAGGGTGATCCGTTGCCAGAGGGTGAAATCCCTATTTCTTGATTTTGCAAGGACTGATTCAGAAAGCAGGCAATTGCAAGTATGAAGTACAGACAGGATGTGGTGAGTTTAGGGCAGCATAAATGCTGTAGGGGTCCCTCCCTCTTCTTCCCCACAGGTAACGATTTCATCTCCATGGTGATGTATTGTGACTTTGAGGTACCCACCTGGTCTCCAAGATCCACTGAAGGAAGGCGCTGGCATTCTGTTCAAACTCCTGGCACATCTCAAAGTTCTTGACCTGTCTTGCCTCTTCCTTTTGCAGCTCCTGCTCCCGTTCCTAAAACCCCAAAGCATAGACAATGGGTGCACACTGACAATTTTGGTTTGTAGTAAAACAAATGGTTCCCTGGCTCAGCTGCACACCCAAACCAGCTGCTATTCCCAAACCCAATCTGGTCCCAGGGGCTTGTGCCTAGGGCTCACACTTCTTCCAACCCATCTTGTTTCATCTCCAGGGGAGGCATTTCCCACAGCACCTACACGTGTCTTTAAGACCAATTCTAGTAACAAATAAGCTAGTAATAAAGCAAAGCTTCCCTCCTCTCAATTTTTTTTCTAAGTGAAATTTCATTGAAATGAAGTTAAAGGGAAAGGTAGTAATAAGAGTTGTCTTTTAAAATTGGTGATGTGGTGAAATTTTTCTTTGTTAAATTTTTTAATATTGTGGTTTTTATGATGAACATATTATAGATAATACATATTAAATACATACATACAAAGAGGGCAATTTTAGAGGTGTGTATAAAATAAGGAATCGCCTGGCTGGGGAGAGTATATGGACTGTGACTATGTATACAATTTTTTCCCCTTCTTTTGGGTTTTTATTTTTTTAAATTGATATATTTATTTTTATTTTATATATTTTTAAAATCATTTTTCATTTTTGCACAATGTATGCATATTCATCATGGTCATAGTCTCCATACAATTCTCACCCTCCTTGTTTTCATTCTGCTCCCTCCTCCCCACCTGTAGTGTGTCTCTGGTTTATAGTTGCTTGTTGATTTTGATTTTACTTTATTGTAATTAGTCTTTTTCCTGGTCTCTTATTTAGGTTTTCTAAATTTCTGCTGTGAGTGAAACCATCCGGTATTTTTCTTTTTCTTTCTGGCTTATTTTGCTGAGCATAATCCCTGTATACAATTTTTTCAATCCCATTTCTAGAGCCTTTCCTGGAGTTTGTGTTTGCTTCCCCAAATCCCTGCTTAACACCCTCTAGACTCTGGAGCATAAAGCTGTACCTATGTGAACAGAGTTTCAAATTCTTCTTAGTTCCCATTTGTGACTGCTGTTTCAGTACAGTTATAAATGCTGTTCCTTTCTTTCTCAAAAGTCCCCCAACTTGGATAACAATAGCCAAGGGAAGTCTCAGATGTGCCCAGGTTACCTTGATGATGTCAGGCAGGTGCTTCCAAATCCTTTCAAGCACCTCCACAGTTAACCAGGTGTAAGGGCTGGAGGGCACATTCAAGGCCTTAATCTGCTGGTCTAGCTCCAGCAAGTGTTTGAAATCAACCTGGGCTCCCGCCAAAGAGGCCAGGAAAGCCTCGTGGTCCTTCTGTAGCTGCCGGATCTCGTTCAGGGAGACACAGTGCACAGGCTCGGACAGGTCCTCCTCGGCGTTCTCACACCAGTTGTTGAAAGCTGAAGCCTTGTTTGCGAACTCCATGAACAGCTCCTCTGCCTACAGAGGGAAAAGATACCCTTGCTTTGCCCTTCAGAGTACCTTGGCAGAAGAGAAGGCTGAGGATAAAAAGTGACTTCAAATATTTTCCTGGCTAGTGCTCTAAGGACAGAACGAACACCAGAGATCATGTGACCAGATGGCAGAGATATGAGTTAAGCACAAGCCCCTATCTGGGCATTTTCCCACTGTGTGGAGTTGGCTCTGTCTTCCAATAAAGGAGGCTGAGTGACTCTGGGGTTGTTCTAAGTCTAAGATTCCAAGAGTAGCAAAGATCATTTTCAATAGATTTCATGCTTATTTTAAGTCTGTGCGCCAGTTCAATCTGGCACATAGTGAAAGTACAAAGATAGGTGTTGAAAGAATGGATGGGCAAGTGATTGAATGAACAAACCATTTATGGGATGGGACAACCTACCCATCCTCTTTCTTCTGATCTGCAGGCCTTGCCTCCTGGTGTCTCATTATTCACACTAAATTCTTTTTCCTGTCTTCCTTCTATACCTTGCTCACGGTGCATCCATTTCCTACCTTTTAACCTGTGTCCTTATCTCTGCAATACTCTCTTAAGTTATCCATACATTCTGAATGGCTCTCAATGATCTGAATTTTTCACCAAGAAAGTATAGATTTTTCTATCAATCTATATAAATCTATTAAAAAAGTTTTAGATTTAAAAAGTATCATAGACTTTAGGTCAGCAGATTGTACTTCTGAAGAGATTCATATTTGCAAATACGAAAATGAAATATTAACTGTGGGTCCAGATAAATGGTTTTTGTGTCTTTGTTTTCTGATCTCCTAACTTCCTGCCTTAACATGTTGCCAGGTATCATCTTTCTAATGGTCTAGTAATTTCACTGACCATTCTGATTTGCTTTTATTAGTAGTATTTTTTGTGGTCAACATCCAGTTAGCAACCACCATTTGAAAGACCATTTTAATCATGAAATACATAGGACTTAGTGGTTTATATTGCATTTTCCAATTCATCACCTTTTTAAATAGTAAAAACATAAGGCAGCAGGGATGGTTGTGACATTATCTTATTTCACAAACAGAGGAATCAGGGTTCAGAGAAGTTAAGTGACTTATAAGGTCTCCCCACAAGGGAGAATAGGACACAAGTTTTACTTGTATAGGGCTCCTTCTATGTGAGTTAGGGAAAAGCTTAAGAGTGACCTTGGCTCCTGACTGCCAGTCTTAACTCTTCCTTCTTCCATACACTAAAACCTCCTCCCTCTGTCTCACCTACCAGGTGCCAGGCTTCCATCTTGTGTTTGTGGAATGACAGCTACATCAGTGCTTAGTCCTACCAATCTAAACACTGAGTTACTTCTTGCATAGTAAGAAGGCTTCCAGGTTATTTCCAGTGCACTCACTTGGGAGTCTGTAGATGATGGAAACATGGCTTCCAGTATCTGCATTGGACCATGACCGGCACACAGAGCGTCAGGCCTGACGACGACTCATGTTGTTTTTACCTTCTGCAGGGGCAGCCGTTTCTCCAGCAGCTTCTGCCTGTGAGCGGCGGAGGCCTCCAGCAGCTGCTCCCAGTGCCGCAGCAGGGCGGTATGGCGTTCCTCGATGGCCGTGGTCTGGCTGTGCTGGGCAGCCACCAGCTGGTCCTTCATGTCAGTTATCTCAGACAGCCTCTCCTGCTGGAAGCTCTGCAGGCTGGCGTCCAGCGTGTCCTGGGAAAGACCCACAGAGAAGCTATGAATCAAAAAGTTATTAAAAAAAAAGACACTCGCAGCAACGTGGATGGAGCTAGAAGGAATTATGCTCAGTGAAATAAGCCAGAAGGAAAAAGAAAAATATCAAACGGTTTCACTTATAACAGGTATATAGGGGAACCAAATAAGACATCAATGTAAAAAAAAAATAACAACAGTACAAAACACAACAAAGCAAAAATGGACAATTATAAGTCAAAGACACACTGCAGGGGAGGAGGAGGGAGAGGGATCAGAGGGAGGGAGGGAGGAGCACGGGGACTGAGGTGATGGTGCACGCGTGCATTGGGGAAGGATACTCTATGGGGACTACACCTGAGGGGGTGGGGGGAAGCAAATATTGTTTAAACATTAAAAAAAATTAAAAAAAAAGAATTTTGAAAGTTAAAAAAATAAATAAAATTCATCAGCAGAGATTTCAATGGAGCTAAAGAAAAATACAGAATTACAACAAACCATTCAGAGATCAGAAGAATTTCCAATCAAGATATCTGCATTGTTACTTTGTCATTTGATATAATCATTAAAATTATTCAGATTTCAAAAAAAAAAGTCAACTACTGTGTGATATCACTGATATGTGGAAAGTAAATAATCTGAATTTAGAGAAATAACTGAGTTACCAGGAGGTGGGGGTGAGGGAAATAGCTGAGTTTGGTCAAAGGGCACGTCCTTCCTCTTTTAACATTACGAGGTCCTGAGGACTCTGGTAAAGCATGTTAATCACAGCTTATGATGCTCTAGCATATACTTAAATAATATAAAACCTGGCCCTTGATAGCTGACTACAGAACTGAAGCACCAAGCTGGGGTGGGGGCAGAGGTGAGAGCAAAGAGGGAAGGAGGCACAATGGTCTGTGGGGGTGGGATGTGGGTGAGTGGGTGGTGGGGGCACTATGGTGGTAATACCCGATGGGGGTATCCCAGTATTACCTCAATTAAAAAAATACAAAAATGAAATAATAAAATTAAGTGGAATTAAACTAGAAATAAATGTCAAAAGACACAATAAGACAGGTACTAAATATTTGGAAATTAAACAGTATACTACAAAATAACCAATGGGTTAAGTAAGAAATTACATTAGAAATGACAGAGAAATTTTAACTAAATAATAGCAACTATAACATGAAATTTGTGAGATGCAGCTAGAGCTTTACTAACAGAGGAATTTATATTCCATAAATCAATATATTAGAAAAGAAGAATGACTCAATATATGGTGACTTAAATATCATCTCAATAAATTTTTAGATCAATGCCAAAGAAAATAAGTGAAAATGATAGACACACAAATGTGTGAATTGAATGTAATATAAAAAAACCCCAAAAGCTGGTTCCATAACAACAATGATGAACCCCTAACAGCAAGGATGACAGAGAAGGGAGAAAGGGGGAGGGAGAGAGCATGGGGGGAAGGGGGTGACGTGGGTCTGGCTGCACTGGCATCTCTCCACCAGTTGGCCTTGCTCTCACCTGCTTTGCTAGGAGGGTGAGAAAGGCACCCAGGTCCCCGCCATTGCCATCAGTCTTCAGGCTGGTTTCCTTCTCCACTAAGGAGCAAAGACAATGAATAAGAGAGGAAGCTGTTAGAATCAACCTCACTAAAGGGAAAAGGAATATTCACTACAGGCCACGGAGCCTCCTGAATCTCAGGTGGATGAGCCTTTGAGTGTGGGTGCAAAGAACTGGAGAAACTGAAGATCAGATAGGAATTATAATAAACCAAACACAGCCTATTCCCTACAATGTTTTGCCCTGACCCTATCTTCTTGAATATCACATGTGAAATCATCAATTCCCCAAAAGGGTTTTCCCTGGAATTAAGGTACCTGGTCACCTCATCAGCATGTTCCTCTGTGTGTGCACACAAGTGCATGTGCGCATGTGTGGGGGCTGTGTGTTTGTGCAGGTGTGTGTGCAATTGTGTCCAGATGGGGCAGGAGTGGGGCCTGAAGGGAACATTTTTTTCCCAGAGAGTGAGACACCCCAGGAACCATTCCTTAGGTGGAATTCCTCAGCATGTCTCTGACCCAAGGACCTGGCCTCACACATCATACCAATCCAAGCCTCTACCACGTCAGCCTTCCAGTTGAACTGCTGAAAAGCATAATCATCTTCCAGTTGCAACTTCCAGACAGCGATTGCTTTAGACAGAGAAGGGGTCTTTGCCTTCAGAGCCTCTATCTTGGCAGAAATCTTCTCCTGGTGCTGGCTGTCCCCCTGAACACCAGGATGAGGGAAGAAGAAGAGCGATATATACCAATGAGTGTTTAGGGCTGGACATGTGAATTTTTTATTACCATTAAAAAGCTCCCACCTCTCTCATTCTAAACACACAAACTCTCTCCTCTAGGCCTAGTGTAATTATTCTATTATCTATCCATGTCCCAGATGACCGTTTTTTTCTTTATTTATTTTATATATTTTTTACATCATTTTTCATTTTTGCACAATGTATGCATTTTCATCTTGGTTATAGTCCCCATACAATTTCCACCCCCCCTTATTTTGACTCTAATCCCTCCTCCCTCCCCCACCCTGTAGTGTGTCTCTGGTTTATAGTTGCTTGTTGATTTTGATTTTTACTTTATTATAATTAGTCTTTTTCCTGGTCCCTTATTTAGGTTTTCTAAATTCCTGCTATGAGTGAGCCCATCCGAAATTTTCTTTTTCTTTCTGGCTTCTTTCACTGAGCATGATCCCTTCCAGCTCCATCCATGTTGCTGCAAATTGCATGAGTTTACCAGATGACCTTTTTCACTCCAGCATACGGGCAATCTTTTCATGTCTATTTATGTAAGTATGGTCTTCTCAGGTGATGTGAGCTACTAGAAGGTATGGAATCATTTTTTTTTGGTTTATAGATCTACACTTGATCTTAGCCCAAAGGCTGAGAAGTGATGTAGATCAACATGGCTTTGTGAAAACAAGCCTTTAAACAAAGAATGATTCTCAAATTATAAAGAGGTGTCTGTGATCCTCCTTCCTAGAGACGGAAGGAAATGTTTTTCGATTCTTACAGTACGCTACAGCCAAAGGCAATGATAAGATTTTATACATGTGATATTCTACACAGGATAACAGTGAGAATATCAACAAATATTTAAGGAAAATCTATAGGAAAAAATTTCCAGAAAACAGCCATCGAATCGATCATTATTTGTTGACAACAACAACAAAGGACAGTTTAGAAGAGATTATTCAAGCGGTTTTTGCATTACTCATGGTGTTGGGTTTGGGGCAACCCCTTTTTGAAAAAGAAACTTTGGGCTGGAACCCTGGAGAGGCTCACCTTGCTTAGGATGTCTCCTCCCTGAGCACACACATTTTGCACTCGGGTCTCGTGCACAGCAAAGTCGTTATCCAATCCTTCGTGTTTCTTTAACAAGCTCTGAATAAAAGAGTCAGTGAAAATCAAAACACCCACAACTAGATAATCTGTCCCCAGTCACATTCTGCCTCCTTTTCATGCCCTTCACCAGGGATGATTCAGCTAACCTGGCAGCTAGGGGAACACCCTGTGTCCTGCACAACTTTACTCAGCTCCTCTCCCAAAACTCTTGCTTGCCCCAAAGTGTAATACTTCTCGGATAAAAAAAAAGTTAAAGGTGCAAGTGATGCTATTTAAAACTTAGCACATGACCTTAAACATTTCTGGATTTTGCCATGAGGGTGTGATCAAGGTAATATAGAAGGATGCTTATATATTGAAATTTAACTCATTCTACAAGGTTGCATAGACAACAGAAAAATAGTCACTATTTTTCATCCTATGCTACATAGGATGAAACATCCTATGCTAAGAATTGACCCTAAAAGGAGGGAAGGAAACTACATAGCTGTGTGTGAATGTCACTCATAATCGTCTCTACTTTTTTTTTTAAAGATTTATTTTATTTAAACAAGAATCGGGGTACAGGCCAGATGTGCAGGAGGGTGAGAGGATCCACCAGAGACAGAGTGGGGAACAGAACAGGCAGATAGACTGAAATACACTGCTGAGGGGAGCAGCGGGTGAGACAGGAGATGTCTGCAGTGCCATGTGGGTTGCTCTGCCACCAGCGAGGATCGAATCGGCACTGCAGAGCCTGTGAACAGCTTTACAGCGCTGCGCTCAACCTGCTGCACCGCCAGGGAGGCCTGATCATCTCTACTTCTAACGCTCTCTGGGGCCATGGTGTCTGTGGTGGTGGGATGGAGGGAGGAGCAGTATTTCTTCATCTTTGGTTGTGTTTTCCTTGGTGTTCCCTAGAGATCCCCTTCTGCCCCACCATCCACAACGACTGCTGCTGCCCTTGCCTCCTCTGGTCACAGGGTGGTGTTCTTTTGCGTCTACATCACACGACAACCCAGGTGAAAGGAGACCTCTTAAAGGTCAATGATTAAAACACCCAACGGTCCAATAAGAAAATGGCAAAACACACAAAACGTTATTTCACTGAAAAAAAAAATACAGGTGGCAAACAAGAATGTCTGTTAAACTTCATTTGCCAAGCACAGACACACATTAAAGTCATGAGTTAGCCTTCCATGTCTCTCAGCCTGCCAAAAATAAAAACAATGACTCCGGCAAACATTGGCAAGGAGGTGAAGAAACCGGATCAGTTACATAGGCTGAAGTGTGGACTGGTACAACCACTTGGAAAAGCTGACTTTGCTATTTTAACAAAACCGAATGTGCAGTTCCCATACGGTCCTGGCACTCCTGGACACTAATTCTGGCGAAATGAAGATTTATGTTTACATGGAAATGCATGGATAAATATTTCCAGCAGCTTTATTCATAATAACCAAAAAGTGGAAACAACCCTTGGGTTATGCAAATCATTGAGCATCTTTAGCTCTTGATTTTTTTATATTTAAAATGGACACAGTTATCCACATTTTCATAACCTTCTTGTTCTACCAGATGAAAGATTCTAATTTCACAAGTGAGAACACTGACTCCTTAAGACAAGACTCCAATTAGAGAGAACCATCTGGGCGCACTTAGCTGGCTGGCCTCTCACCTGGGTAGCAGCCAAGGTGTCTCCAGAATCTCCGCGGGCAACCAGGGCCTCCTTCTCACTGAGCCAAGCCTCCTCTTCCTCCGCATTCGCCATGAACTGCAAGTATTCGAGGGACTCCTCCAGCCGCAGTCCTCTAGAAAGCGGTGACACTCCATCATGACAGGAACACTCATAAGTAGCAGAACTGACACGTCACACAAGGCAGCTAGAGTTCACATGCCAGCTGGTCAGCAGTGCTGGGCACTGGGCAAGGAGGAGACCCTGTCCCCAGAAGGTCAGTTTTGGTGTCATTTACTCTCTGGCAACTTTGTGGGGGCAAGAAAATCTTGTCCAATCCAAAGTGCCAAGACTCAAAAGTTGGGGGCCTCCCTGGTGGTGCAGGCGGTTGAGTGCAGCGTTGTGAAGCTGTCCGTGCAGCCTCTGCAGCGCGGGTTTGGTCCTGGCTGGCCGGCGAAAATCCCATATGGCCTGGCAGACCTCTCCTGTCTTGCCCGCTGCTCCCCTCAGCAGTGTACTTCGTCAGTCTGCCTGTTCTGTTCCCCACTCTGTTTCTGGTGAATCCTCTCACCCTCCTGTGCATCTGACCTGTATCCCGGTTCTTGTATAAATAAATAAATCTTTTATTTTTTTTAAAAAAAAAGACTCAAAAGTTGGGGAATACAGCAGTGAAGCAGCATGTCTGCTCCAGGCACCACCATTTTCTTTATACATGAAGGACCACGAAGGACTACAGGTGCTTTCATTCCCTGGAAAGAAATTTCTTCCTACTGCCAACAGGCATGGAGTTCTGAGCAGAAATAATCCTATTCAGCCTCATGGCTTTGTGGCCATAAAGGAGAAAAAAATCCCTTCTTTCATTGCTAAGTGCTGTATAAAACTTAGGGATATTCAAAAATCACAGTGTAAGCCAATGTAAACTCAGTTAAAAATAAAACTAACTGGGGTGATATTCCAAGAAGAACAAGGATGGGGCCAACAGCCTGGAATGGAGACTGGACATATCGGGTGGTGATATTAAAAGACCAACAAGCCAGAGACTAAGGAGCAAGTGACCTCAGAACACATAGGAGGGATCCCTTTGCCCTGGTGGTGAGGGAGAAAAGAGTTGGTCCTCCAATCCCCAACTCACCGAGCCTGGGCCAACTCATTGAGCTCCTCCCAGTGTCGAACGAACCAAGCCAGGCGTTCGCGGATCTCCTCTCTGCCCGCCGTGACCTTGTCCCCCAGTTTCTCCGCCATGTCCAGCACATTCTGAAGAACATACTCTCCATATCACCCTTTCCCCTGTAGCCCCATTTTCTTTCAAGTGTCCAGCCCTTCCTCCCTTCCCAATCCTTCATAAACTCCATGTACTTGGGATATTCCTAAAAATCCTGTGAGAATGAAAAGAGCCGTAGGAAGATGCACCCTGCTAAATAGCCCCAAGGATGCTGGCAAATATCTTGGTGCCCACACAAGGCTACTCTGCATGGTCTGCTTTGTGGATTATTTATGGTCACAGGTGACCCTGCTGCTGCTGGTGCAGATCCAGAGTGGCCTTTGTCCCATATATCTCAAGTAGGACTTTTCTAGATGTTTCTAGCTGCATCCTAACAGCTAACAGCTGAGCCCTAGGGTCTCCGGGGAAGTGTGTGGGCGCCCTGCATGTTTCTTCTCTTCAAAATAGACAGAACTTGGAGGAGTCAACAGTGGTGCCTGCTGGGATTAACTGTGATCTGTGCCTGCCTCCCCCACCTTTTGCAGTGTCATCCTATTTACCCCCAACATGAGGCCCACTGGTGGATTTTCTCTGCCTTTGTGGGTCTCACATTCAGCTATTCCTACCTGGATGGCTGGCTCGTGTGCTACCAGCTCCCCTTCTAGGCGTCTGTGCTTCTTCAGTAAGTTCTGCACCCCCTGTAGGTCCCTCCCATAGTCCTGGGAGCTCACGCGGACCAGCTTCTCTCTGGATCAAGGAAGGAAACAGAAATTTTAGAGTTTAGAGGCCATCTTAGAAAAATGACTTTCTAAAAGTGTCTATCTGGTTGGAGGTGGGAGAAGTGGTAAATTCTGGAACATTCTGGAGTCAGTAACCACAAAGATAATTAGTGGCAGAGGTTTTAGCAAAACCTGTGTTGTATACAATACAAATTAAAATCACACACCAATCTCCACCACATGCAGTATTGACAGGGATTCCCATTAGCTCCTTTGCCTACTTATGCATCTTTTCCTCTTTACTCAAGAGCATACACTAATGTTTCTCCTTCCAGAAAAAACATAAACACACACACACATGAATGTATGTGACTTTCATGACCTTCACTGCTACCGTTCATTAATGTCAATAATGAATAATTTAGGTAGATGGGTATAAATAGCTGACATAGGAGTGTGACAGTTGGATTGGCTGCAAGTGTTACATGTTTTAACATCACCATAAAGGACAGTAAAGACTCTGTAGACAAACTGTTATCTTGTAGTTTCTAAAAAGTTTTCAAAAATATCCTATTTGTCGCCTTGTGCACAGTGCTTCCCTCTAATTCATTGATTGCTAGTAAGAACCAGCAGGTTGTAGAGGAGGAACATGATGAGGCTGATTACATGGAAAGCAGGGAAGAAAGTTTGATTCCTAAGATTTTCCCAAATGTACATATTTTTTATGACAAAAGTAGCATTAGTAATGAAACCCCAGCAAGCACTGCATAACATTCTCTGTCCAGTGTCCAGATCAATGTCATGTAAGAAGCACAAGGCGCAGAAAGGAGGAAAATGATTGCATCTGCCCAGTAAGCTGAAAATGCCTAGCTGTCTCCATGAGCATTACATGCTCTGTGAACAATTTAGAGTAAATACATATTGTTTCTATATTTGGTTTCCAGCATATGTGCAGACTTTTCACTCCCACTATATCCATCTCCTCTCTCTAAAACCAGTGTAGGCATTTGGGAAAAATAAAACCAATGTTCACTTGATGCTAGGTCAAAATGATTAAGAAATAACATCTATAGCAATAGACAATGACATTTTTCATTGCACATCAAGTTGGAGCACATTTGGTGGGCTGCCGGTTGTAGACTATCTGCACAGTGGGTGGTACGCACTCCATCCATGACTCCTCGTCATCCAGGTCCTGGAAGAACTGGAACAAGGCGTGGGCCTCCTTCAGTTTCTCATGGTGTGTGGCTGCCAAATGCTGGACTTGGAGGAAGCGCTCGTTGACGTTATCCCTTTTCTCCACAATCTGCTCAGCATTGAAAGTTCCACTGGACAGCAGTTCAGTGGCCAGCTCATTCAGGTCCTTGAGAGCATCCTAGAAAACCCAGTGTGCTCAGTGAGCGGGGCAGTGCAAAATAATTAGACCTGACTTTAGCCACTACTGCTTCAGTCTAAGGCTGAGTCAGACTGTTCTCAAAGATAATGAATTTGGTGGGCCTCCCTGGTGGCGCAAGGGGTTAAGACACAGCACTATGAAGCTATCTAGAGCCACTGCAACATGAGTTCGATCCCCAGCCAGGGAGGTGACCCACATGGCATAGAAGACCTCTCCTGTTTCTACCACTACTCCCCTCAGCAGTGTATTTCAGTGGATCTGCCTGTTCTGCTCCCCACTCTGTCTCTGGTGAATCCTCTCTCTCACCCCCCCCATCTCTGACCTGTACCCTTGCTCTTGTATGCATAAATAAATAAATCTTTCTTTTAAAAAAAGATAATGAATTTGATGTCATGGCCTTTTCACTCAGACTGGATAAGGGCAAGATCAGAGGGCAATGTGGTCCCATGGCTATCCTGATGGAATGTACACTGGCCTTAAGAGTCCTTCTGTCATCTGATGTTTTCCCCTAAAAGTTCTTCTCTCCAAGTAGAAAGTAAGACCTTGGTGAGCAAGATCTGTGTCTCCAAACAGGACTGCCTTCTTCACTTGTCTGAGTTTGACACATATTGATTGATTGAACTATTTTGGACATTTTTAAATTGCCACATCCAGAACACATCAACCCTCTCTGGGTCTCTTCTCATTCTAACCCTGCCCTCTAGTGATCTCAGAGGGAAAATCATCAAGTCCTGACACTGAACTTAGAAAATCTTACTGCTTGTCTTTTCTGTGGATATCTGTGTCACCAAATAAACTGACAATATAAAATTCTTCAACATGAAATAAACACCTTCCATCACATTTTTACTGCTGTCAAGACATAGTTCTTGAGATCAAGATGCAGAATTTCTCCAAGTGTGTATGTAGTTCAACTTCACTGTATGTGTCCTCATCTGATTTTTGCTCTAATTCTGCAAAATAAACTACCATTTTCTTTCAAAGACCAGAATAAATAATATGCAGTTTTGGAATAGAGTGCATTTGTCTGCATGCATCAGTACAAAACTAAACAAGAGAGCTTTTAGTACCTACTTCCCTCAAGTCTCAGAATCTGTAATTTAATGATGATTGATTAATAACTGTTAAAATATCTCTGTAGCCCATAGATTAAGCCTGGTTATAGTGACTGTTGGGTGAGAACACAAAGGTCAGTTTTGCAAGGCTGTATTTTTAAATGATCTCCTAAGACAGAAGAGAGGAAAATCAGGAACATTTCCACTCTGTCCAGGAGAGTGAGATTCTATTGCTACTTACCTCTCGGGCTGACATCTCTGTCTCCAACAGCTGGTGCTTCTTGAGTAGGTTTCCTGCTGAAGCCAAGTCCCTGGCCTGATCTTTCATGGCCAGCAGAGTCTCTGCCTGTGAAAAGAGGAATGAGCAATAAAGTTGCCAGATGAAGGCTGTTTTAAGAAGAACATGATTAGCAACTATGTCCCCCAAATTTTCTGAAGAAGAGCCAAGAAAAATGTTTATGCATAATCTAATTATCTGATAAATATTTACAGTCATGCATCATGATGTCTCTGTTGATGGCAGACCACATGTGCCATCTGGGCTTGAATAATGACACTGTAATGCTTGTACCGCGACAAAATCAGCTAAAGACTATTTCTTGGAATGTATCCCCGTTGCAGTGCCATGTATGCCTGTATGAAGCTCTCACACCCCTCTCCCCCCCCCACTTCCAGGTGTGATTACCTCTGAGAGCCAGAACTCAAAGTCCCGGATGCCTGTGTTGAATCTCTGTTGACGACTAGCCTCGTTGAGCTTCTGCCCTTTGTCAATTGTTCTTTCAAGCAGGTAATCCCAGTGTTTCTCCAGCTCTTCCAGTTGACCCTAAACCAAAGAAACTGGGAGTCACTATGGTCTTTAGGATGCTGGGTTTTATGACAATCTAAAAAGGATAATATAGGGAGGCTCTGGGGGTAGGGACTAGTGAAGTGTGCAAATGGCAGCAGGGATAGTAAATGTAAAACAAGCATGATTTTGTAGGAATTCAGTCTACACGAAGCAAGAGTGAGGAGGTGTCAGCATCAGTGTTTTCCTCTATCCTTCTATAAGAGGGGATTAGCATACCCCACATCCCTGTACATGGACACGTACAGGAGTCAACACTCTTTGTGTGCCTTTGTAGCCCTAGCCCACCTTGAGCGGAACCTACCTTCACAGTCTCTTCGTTGCCATCACATGCCCTCCGCTCGATCAGGGAGTTCCCCAGGTTGAGGACGCCTTCCACCTGCTCAGCTCGGCCGTAGACCTCATTTTCAAAGGTCTGGTGCTTCAGGTATTTCCTCTGAGGGGGACGCAGAAATAGAATTAGCCTCACACTCAGGGAAGGAAGATGACGTCAATTCAGGACAGTGTTCTCAAGGGAGCTGAGCCCAGGGGCCGACTTCCACGCGGCAACTTCACTGTGCTGAGTGGCTGGGACTCCTGTCGTGGACTTGCCTGAATGTTGGTGGGGTCTTTGTAGGATTCCTCACAGGCTGTGGGCAGCATCTCACTAATCCACTCTTCTAGCTCCTCAAGGTCATGGTAGAATTGTTTCAGGTCAGCGTAGTCTCCTAGTTTTGTCCTCTCAGCAAGCAGCTGGGCTTTGAGAGCCTTCCATCTGTGGGAGGGGCCAGATCACTCTTTGCCCTCCACCTGCCCTGAGCAGGATGCTGCACCCAGAATCTTCCCTTTGCCAACCCATCTTTTCTCTTCTTACTATTGGTATGTCATCTTATGATAAATTATTATGTATATTATACATCACTTAGAGGTTTACTTATCCTATATAACTTAGTCTCATCATTTTGAGATATAAAGTACTGTGGTTAGCCAGGTAATTTTTAAGGTGACTTCCGTATTTTTCATATGAGTCAAGATCAGAGTTTCCCAGAGTGCCAAGATAGTATTAGGCATCTAAAAATGAGCAGCATGCAGAGTCCCCCATCCTAAGTTCTGGCACAGAAGTCACTGTGCTTTCTCTTCTTGTAGCTCACAAACCACCTCTCAAGCCTGACCTGTCCAGCACCCGCTGGAGCCGAGCAGCGATCTCCCCCTTGGCATAGTGGTCGTCTGCGATGAGCCGCTCAGCGCACAGCTCTAGCTCAGAGATCTTCTTTTCCTGGATAAGGGAAAGAAAGAGCCCAGATGCCCAGAGGTTAGGTCCTGACTGCAACCCCAGACTCCCTCCTAGAAAAGCACAGAGATGCCCTTTTGACTTCACAAAGGGTAGAAAACCAGAACCGAATGGGGAAAGCCCAACAGGGAGGCGGATTTCAATCAACAAGAGGAGAAACATTAACCATAATACTGCAATGGGCTACTTGTGTGGTGCTAAATTCTCTAAAGATCAGAGGTTTCCCATGGCCATTGTAAAGGGTTGTTCCTGCCGTGGGTGGAACTGGAAGGCAGTATGTAAAGTCACATCCAATTCTAAAAGTTGGACTTAAATTACTAAAGAACAACGACACCTGTGATTTGGGGGTGACTAAGTCAGAGTGGCAAGCCTTGCCTACCTCAAGTTTTCTGTGAGAAGCACATGGGAATTTAAATATGTAGAACTCATAAAACCACACCCATGTTGTGTTTCTGCAGATACTGCTTTATTGTTAATAGATATTGTCGGAACTCTCATGCAGTCTCTCTTACCTGGGCAGCGAGGGCTTTGTCCAAGTCATCCCGCTTCTTCATCAATGCCTCCAGACTGTCCAGGGAGCCCTTATCATCTGACCGCAGGATGTTCTCCCGGGCCACCATCCAGCTCTCTGCCTGATCGCAGTTCCCATGGAACAGCTATGGGGAATGTTGTTAGAGGCATGTGTCGTTAGAGGCATTGCAGGGGACAGATGACATGATTTTCCCCTATGATGCTGATCTAAGGGGCCCTCAAGCATTGCTAGCAATCTTCCAAGGAGCATTCACATTAGGGACTCAGCAATGCTTCATTTTTGCCTCTTCCCTAGACCATGTGCTATTATGTAAGTTACAGTCCATTTTTTTCTATTAAAGTCATCTTACTATATTAGAATGATCTGTTTACATGCCAATTTCACTGCTTAAGAAAAGGGACACTATCTTACCAGTCTGTTTTTCTCCTGGGCCCTGCATGCAGTCGGTTCTTAATAAAAATCAATCCATCAAACCCTCATCCAATCAATCATAGTCATTTTATGTCCGGGACTAACCCCCATCTCATTTGGTCCAACAGGGAAAAAGGCAGAAAAGAGCACAATGATGAGTGTACAATGCAGAGAATGTGGTTTCAGAGAATCAGGGGCCTCCTGATAGTAGGGGGTCTGCACTAACCACGTGCACTTGCACAGACAAAGCAGACTGAGGCCAACCCTGCTGAGTGGTTGGGAACCCACTGTACCTGCAGCTCCAGACACTGATCTAGCATCTTCTTGCGTTGTTCCCAAGCCTTTTCCAAACCATCTCTCTCTAGCCTGACAGCTTGAAGCTTTTCCTCAATTTCAGGACTGGCTCGGTGCCCACTGCCTATAAGCTCTATCCCGAAGTCTTCTAAGGCCTGGAAGGTGGGATCCTCTGCCTCCATGTTAGCACGATGTTCCTGTGGGAGAAAGAGACAAGTGAGGCCAGTGACATTTTGCCACAGTTGTGAAATGAGGGTGCATGGTGAGGTCATATGATCAGCGGTCTTAGCTCTTGAAGGTAGATGTACCTGGTGACGCTCCATCAAGATCTCTGTGCCAGTTAAGTCCTCAGCCATCTCCGGTGATGACACCATGGCACCAATGCCACTGATCCAATTCTCTAGGTCCCTAGAGAAATAGACCCATTGGCATGACAAGGAAACCTTGCAACTTACTAGGGGGCTGTCTGTCTTTGTGTATGTATTTTCCTTCTAGAGAATGATTCCAGATTAACACCTTCTATCTGCTCTATAGGCTTCATAGGTCTTAGGTTTGCTGTTTTCATTCTGTCACTTAATAGCCATCCCTTGCATATGAAAATCTCTTCACATATGTAATCTCTTCCAATTCTTGCAACAATCCTGAATAGAATTCTGGAAATTCTTTTCTTTCTGTGTTGATGAGAAAGCCAGCCTGGAGTATGTAGGTGATTTATCCATGTGACATAACTAAAAATAGACATGGTACTAGAATCCAGACTGAAAGCCTGGATTCATACATGTTCTATTATTTGTTATGATTCCTGTTCCATTAAAGTGGATTCTTGGGTTGGAAGCTCTATCTTATTATGCAGACTCAGAGCTGGCTTTCTTCTTACTTTTATTCCCAGAAGAATCTCATATGTGCCTCCAATCACCATGCTGTTGATGGAATCAGGACCTATTTCCCACTTTTCTTTTCTTTTTTTTTTTGTGCACTAAAGACATTAAACAAGGCAGGCTAAGGTCCATTTTCCTTAGAGGGAAATGCCAAATAACTATGCATTAACCTAAAATTGCATATAATAGTCAAATGCAGCATCTCATAAAGGGTGCCTTCTTTGCTAAATAGGAATCACTAGCTCTAGGAAGAAAATTCTCTTCTTCTGTAAACTCAGACAACTAAGTTGTTATTCAACAATTGAGTTTATCAGATGTTTACTACTATAGTGAAGAAGATATATATATGCTTTCCAGGAGATCACTTTAAATTGAAAGAAAAAAAAGACAAAGAAAACATGGCCCCTAATAATTTACTATAAAAAACTGTAAATCAAAAGTCATAAAGAGGTAAAATAAGGTATAGAGTTACTCAGAGGCTAGAAAGGTGACTTCTGTAATATTGATAAATGAAAGTTCATAAAGGGAAGGAGGCAGCCACTGACTTGGAATCTGAAGTCCAGGTTGAAGCTCTCTGTACAGAGATCCATGCACACATACAAGAAGAGGTCTGGGTGCAATGTGTTTGTACTACCTAAAAAAACTGGAGCTCGCCACAGATGTTGACTTGGGGGTGGGAGTGTGTGTGAGGGGGTTGTTTGCCAAGAGCAAATATAATCATTTGCCAAAACTTGTCTCCTTTTTCCATGAGAGGATTACAGTGTGAGTGTCTACTTGCTGGACCCTCAATTTTACCACCCTACTGATCTCATGGGGCAAAGTAGGGAAACTGGTCCACAGAGAAAGTGCCTATTTGCTAAACTGGGACACAGTCAGACTCTTTAGCAAAATATTGAAAATCCTCTGGGATTTGATCTTGACATTTCTCGGTTGATCTCTTTCTGATTCTCTTTACCCCTATGACATACAGAACCTGTGCTTAGCTGCTCTGCTACGTGAGCAAGTTGTACCTCCTTCCCTGAGCATTTATATCTCTAGTTCATTGATGTGTTAGGGCCATGTAGGGTGTCAGTGTTGATGTTCTCCTAGGGCCATCTGTTCTCTTCTCTGCCTTCCCATAGTATGAAAAGGCCTGTATCTTCTAGCCCCTCACAAGTCACCTTATATATATGGTCAGCACTGTAGCGAGGCTTTCCTGGTTGGCCTGAATGCCCTCACCCTCCTGCACACTTCAGCATTTTATGACTTGAAATATGTTCTGAACCTGATATTTTTTTTTCTTACCAGATGGAAAAAAGGTGCCCTCCAAACCCAACAATGAAATCACCTGTGCTCACACTGCTCCCAGAAGCCACACGTGGATATCACCCACCCCACCAGGTGGCAGCAGCTGGTCGGTTGAGCTTTACCTGGCCTTGCTGAGGAAGAGGTAGAACTTCTGGGCCTCACTTAAGCTCTCCTTGCGGTCTTCTGTACGCCCCAGCAGGTCATCCCAGGCCTCATTCAGCTCCACACGCTGTCTCTGCAGGTCTGCTGTGGCGTCTGGGTGGGACTCCATGAGCCGCACTGCTGTCTCCCCCAATATAGTCACCTGAGGAGGTGCAAAAGCTCTGACAATCATCCTAGGGTCCCGTGTGGTTCTGAGTAAAAGAAGAGCTCTGGGGTACTCATCCCTCAAATTGACATCAGTGAGGGATGAGAACTCTTGTCACTTTACAAAATAATGTCAACCCTCGTGGTACACATGGCAACCCCTGAAGTAATGAAAGTTGGCATTAAACACCATACTTGTTTGAGGTGAGGTTGTCAGGCAGGGTGGTTAAGTCGCTCTGCTGACTAGTAGCTACATCAATTAGGAATCCAATAGTTCTCATTTTAAATGGGAAGAGCTATCCAATACAGATAATTTTATGCTTCTTTTTCCTCTGCACGATAATTCCAAGCTGTATGATGCCCTGACTTATCTGGAAAGCTCCAGACTTCATTTTCAGTCAGAGTAGGATTAAGATGCTTCATTTTCCAAGCATGTGCCCACACAGCCCTGGCCCTGCTGGAGGTGACCTTTTCCCATTTGCTTTAGACTGGTTACTCCCAACCAGCTTTTGTAAGTTCTGCTCCCGTGGAACCCACTGCAGAAGCACTTGGGCCATAGCAGGATCATTTCCAACATGCTTTTCCTCTGTGCTAATTAGGCAGCAGGTCCCGGGACCTGTCCTTTTAGCAGCCTTGCCTTAGCACAGGGTGCAAGAGCAAGTATGGAGTAAGATAAAGACAAATGTGAGAGTAAGGGACTGGGAAATAAAACCAAAGGAGAAAGTATGGATAGGCACCAGTACAAAGAGCAAAGTATTAGAAATATGTGGACGCTCATGTCTCACTTTTTCCCCCAAGGGTATGAGGTCTCTCTCAAAGCTTTCATGCTGGCGCTGAAGGGCCTGGACACTGAACAGGTCTGAGCCGGGGTCAGCAACACTGAGGGCCTGGCACTTCTTCTCAATCTGCTCCTTCGTGTCGTCTGCTTCTCTGTACACAAAAGTAAAGAGTTTAGGGGAATAACGTGTAGCAGATGCAGACTAGCAGGCTCACGAAGATGTCTTCACACCCACCATCATCATCACACCATCACCTTCATCATTACCATCACCATCCTCATTCTTTTTAATGTGTAAGACCTTAAGCTCATTTACTCCCCACAGCCACTACTGGAGGCATCGTTACTATTCCCATTCCCATTTTTTAAAAGATTTATTTATTTATGCATATAAGAGCTGGGGTGCAGGCCAAAGATGTGGGGGGTGTGTGAGAGGATTCACCAGAGACACAGTGGGGAGCCGAACAGGCAGAGTGACTGAAATACACTGCTGAGGGGAGCAGCAGGTGAGACAGGAGAGGTCTGCTGCACCATGTGGGTATCTTCCTGGCGGGGGATTGAACTCATGCTGCAGTGGCTGCAGATCACTTCATAGTGCTGCGTCTTAACCCCTTGTGCCACCAGGGAGACCCATTGCCATTTCCATTTTTCATAAAAGAAAACGGAAGCTTACGGAGAATAAGTATTCTCACAAAGTTGTAGCACTGCTAAGTGGTGGGGCTTCATTGGAACCAGGCAGCCTGGCTGCCGAGCCACGAGCTTACCTACTATCCTTCATGGCTTTCCATCCTAAACCACCCAATTTATCTGCACCTCAGTTTTCTATTCTCTGAATATTCAAAAGTATATTTATAGAGAGCAGAGGTGTTTGATTTCTGTTGTGTTTATCTGCTCACTTACTTACCTGTGTATGTGTTTCTGAGTGTAGATTCAGGTTTTGGAAATCAGACCTATCTAACATTTGTTGAGTCAACAGCTAAGAGTGAATGTGATGTCTGTTATTCTCCCCATTGGTGCTTCTAGTTCAGAAACATAATTACTTACACCTCTTGTCTCTGCTTCGTGTTTAAGTCACTGTCTAGACTCCTGATTATTCCCAGGGCCTAATGTGCTGCATAAGGAACCAACTACTAAACACCATCTATTGGTCTCTATCCCAGGAAGAAGGGCTACAGTAATAGTGAGGTTCAACTAGAGTACTTAGACCTGGGAGTTATGAGCTGGTGCTGGAGCTGTGCTATTTTCAGAGTTAAGGTTCTCACCTGTGAAACATCTGGACAGCGTGGGCACTGCCCAGCAGCTGGCGCTGTTCCTCTGCGAGCCTCTGCAGCGAGCCCCAGCGGGAATTCAATTCCTAAAGAGGCAGACAGAACAGACTTCAGCTAGGACGCTACTACAGATAGCTCAGTGTGTCTGGAGGCTAGAAGGTTTAATCAAGGTTGCTTTCACATTATTTCCTTCGGAATTATATTGGTTTCTTCCTTTCTTGCATAACTTGAGCTTGGGCCTCATTTATGCCAGCACAGTTACGAAAGGTATCACTTTCTTTCAAAATTGATGCTCAAGGACAGACCTGACCACCCTGGAGCAGCAGTCCATGTTTGTTGGCACAGAGACTACTTTATAACTTCCAAAAAATGGGTAGAAAATGTTGCCGTGGTGGTTAGATATTATTATGTTTCTCTAGAATTATAATACAGTTCTGCCTCTGAACTGAGTAACCCATTTGCCTCTTAGAGCCCTATTTTGTGTGTAGACAGTTAGTGGATGCTCCTGTGCAAGTTCATTCCCCCACTCACTCCACAACAAGCACCATCTCAGAAAGTGACAGAGAACTCAGCCTCCCTGGTTTAGAAAACCCCAAAGAGCTGGACACACATCCATCAATGCTCACTAGATTTTTTACAAGACCACAGACCCGAATCTGAAGCAGGTCTAGAAAATCCCTCCCCAACTCTACTGACACCTCCTTTCATCAAATAAATGGGAACCTGTCTCTTCTGCTACATTTTCTTGATGAACTCATCCTCCTTATCACAGTTCCTTTTGCTTCATTTCCTTTGTTTTCATGTAGTTGCCATTTTCCTGTCTGTGATGGGGTGAGGTGAGTATGTGCTATAAGTTAAGAATTTCAGATCAGTTCAAATGCACACATGGCTGGATGATTTGAACTATCATTTTTGACATTTCTGGTATACACAATCAGCTCCATGCATCCATTACCTCCTGCATGTTGTAGTTGATTTGAGAATGTGAAGCTGAGGACGTGTAAGTGAAGACTCCCAAACCTGGTCATGAGGGGAAATGGAAGGGCCTTAGTTACCTGCTGGATCTGAGTTCCTTCTGGTGTTAGAAGCCCTTCAAATAGAAGATCATCAGCTACCTTGTTGATATCCCTCAATCGAGGCTCGTTGGTCTTCAAATCCTGGGTGGGAAAATTTGTCCAAGCATGTGTCATATTTCCTGTTCACTATGCCCCCACTGGCCTAAATATTAAAACATATTGCTAACTTCATTTGCAATACACACCAGACTATCCCCCTCCACTCTGCATCTAAGAAGATCACCTTTAAACTCCCTGATACCCAATGACTATCAAAAACTGCCAAAACAGCTGTTATTTATCTGGACTACGGCACACGCCCATTTTCTTAGATTTCTTAGGCATCTCTCCCTGGATTAGATTACACCATCAAAAGGATTTTCATCTGATCATATCATATTCTTTTTTACCAGTAGGAATTCCCCTACCTTCTATAGGATTTCATTGGCTAAGTTGCAATCTCTTTATATTAAGCAATGTCTCTTTATATTAAGAGACAACTCTACGGAGCTCTTTTTTAGGGATTTTGTTCATGACATTATACAATGACCTTTCAGTGAGTTTTCTCATGGAAGTTTCTTTTTGGCATTCTTATATAATTTTATCTTGTTTCATACCTTCCTTTTCTACCTCTCCTAAGTTATATCCATATCCATATATCTCTGCCTGTCCACATCCATCTATATCTCTATCATACATGTCATCTTTATCATATCTATTCATGCATTCCCTTAAATTTATCATTAAAAAGGAAGAGTTTATACTCACTGATAAATGAAATAATGGAATAAATTTAAAAGAATAAAGGAGAATGAAAGGGTTTTAGATCGATAGAAAAAATTGTCTAGCTATAAAGTCAGGTGATCTTTCCCCTCTACCCCCAATTTTTGCCCTATAATTAGGACCTTACACAGGTTCCCACAGCACCCCATCTCAACCCAGGCCTCAGGAATACAGTACAGTAGAGGAAAGTTGTGAGAAATGCAGGGAGACTAGCACACCCAGGAGAATTTGGGGGTGAAGGGATTGCAGGCTCCAAATTGGGGTGATTGGTTTCCTCTCCATTTCCTTTCACCTACACACCCTAGAGGAAGCTCTGACATGTGGACATCTCGGTAGCTCTCCGGAGGATATTTAACCAATGTGGAATGAATGAATCAGGAGGAGAATGAATCAGGGCAGGAGACAGGAGATCAAAGGAATCAATGACACCCTCAAAAAACTGGAGGAGAAGAGACATTCTGTGCTTCTCACCGTCTGGAACTCATCAAATTTTTTCTGCAGTTCCCAAACATCGTCGAGTTCCACCCCAGTGTTTTCTGCCTTTTTCTCTCGGATCCAGTCCAGCATGTCTCCCGCCTCATAAGCCAGCAAGAACTCATTGTAACGTTGCAGTAGATGCCGCCTACGTGCCTCTGCCCGGTCGAGGAGGGAGTGGTACCTGATGAAGAGAATGGAAAGAAGGAACAGATGCTGGAGAAAACAAAGAAAAGCATTGACAGAGTGAGAAAGGGAGAGAATAAAAAGGGTGAGAGAGCTAAAATAAGGAGCAGGAAAGAAGACAGATGGAAGGAAAATGGCTTTGAGAGCAGAGACCCAGAGGCAGTTTTCCATTAAAAAAAAAATAGAAAACAAGTCAATGTCCTAATAGCGTGAATGGCAACCTTCGCCATTCTATAGCAGTGACATTTTTTTTTAAAGATTTATTTATTTGTTTATTTATACAAGCACTGGGTACAGTCAGAAGCACGGGAGGGTGAGAGAATTCACCAGAGCCAGAGCAGGGAAACAGAACAGGCAGAAGGACCCAAGTATACTGCTGAGGGGAGCAGCGGGCGGCAGGAGAGGTCTGTGCGCCAGGTGGGACCCTCTTCTGGTGGCCGGGGAGCAGCCGAGGATCGAACAGATGCTGCAGAGGCTGCGGGCAGCTTTGCAACCCAGCGCTCAACCGCTGCGCCACCAGGGAGGCCCGTGACATTTTTTATAGAATAAAAAAGTGGAATTTTCTATAGAACAGGATAGGGCGACTAAAAAAGCCTGGCAGAGTAAACAAAACTCATATGAAAATCAGAGCTTTTGGCAACCTTAAAAAGAGCTAATAGATGCAGTCAGGGGAGAAGTGCCTTCAGCCAAGAGAATGTGTTTGGTCAAACACCGTCTAGTTCTCCAGTTGCTATAACTCACTGGTTCTCGATCTGTTCCTGGCACTGGGTGATAGTGCCTGACTCTTCTCGTCGCCGCTGGGGGAGTGTAGGGAACTCATCATGGGCCAGTTTCCTGACATAAACAGCTGGCACGAAGCCCTGGTGATCGTCTGCTTCCACCTTCCACCAGTCCTGGAGGGAGAGCAGAGGCCTGTCCTTCCTCAGTTCTGGGGAAGCCACACATGCAAGAAGCTCCAGCTTTCATAACAAGTTTCTAGCATAACAGCACAGACACAGCTGGTGGCTGAGAGAAACAAAACACAGCTTGTGGGTGGCATGTAATTTTCACCATTGCAAAGAGGGTAAGTAAGGAACTGCAGTGATAAGCCTCTGGAATCAAGGAACCCACCATTTGATGTTAGAGCCTTAACTTTGATGAGGTTTTCAAAAACCAAAGACAGTTCTGATGGTGGGATACTTGTCCGCTAGAATTCTCAAGAAACAATGGAACCAGAATTGAACTGGGTTCCCTGCAGGCAGAGCATCTGTGTAAACAGTTTCACAAAGCATTACATAATCTAGCCTAGTTTCCCAGAGCTCCTAAAAATTGTGTGTTGCTCTGAATTTCACTCAAGTGTGTGCTTTATACTTAACTGTCACCCTGATCCCCTCTGAGTATTTTGGGGTATTCCTGGATGAACCACTCTGGAGTTAATGTCCTTAAAGAATAATGTGGTGAAATGGAGAAGCCTGGGCAAAGGGAAGGGCATTGGTACAGCTTCTTCACGAATGAAACATCTTGCTTCTCTAAAAATTCCACTAGCTCTCAGAATGACAATATCGCACCTCTCTTCCCAATAATTTTGAATATAAAAAAATGACTAAAGCCAATATTTTGTCACTGTTCTCACAGGCATGAGGTCTAAAGAAAATCAAGTCGACAAAAGACTTCTGAGCAGGCTCCACCTGACCCCAATCATTGCTGCCTGTTCCTGCAGGAAGAAGGAACAAGCAAAGACGCAGGCAGGAAGGGTTTACAGCGCGGCCACTCCACTTATATGTGCCCTTGGGCAATTACTTCAGTTCTCTGAGCTTTCATTTGCAATTATCACCCCACAAGTACAGGCTCCTGGCTAGATGGAGAAGTTTGTATAAGAGAGACAGCCAATCATGAATGTTGATGAGCCAAAAGATGGGTATCTGGCAGGGTTGGGCAGAGACTATGGAGGAGCCACAGGGGAGGTCACCTTGTTGATGGAGCTGAGCAGAGTTAAGACGTCATCTTTCTTCATGGTGACTTCTCGGGGGCTCCGAGCCTGGAAGTCATATAAGGCCACCACCCTCTCCTCTCGAGCTGCTCCCTCCACTGGCGCTGCCTGTTGTTGCTGAACAAGTTGGAGGAGAGCATGTCAGTTACTGCAGGAAACACCTCCCTCTACAACTAGTGGGTGTCTGGGTGGGACCGGTGAGGGCAGCCCTGATTAGATTTTGCATTATCATTTTGTCCCCCCAACCCCCACCCCCAGCACTTCTCAGGGGGCAGGCAGGTGGGGCAGTATGAGCACAGACTGAGCAAAGTGATTGTTGAGTTTTCTGGGAACTTACAAATGTTCTCAAGTTCTTAAATCAGGTGTAAACATTATACATATCAAAGTTCCAGAAAATCATTCGAGATCATGAAAGGCCCACTGTCTCCCATAGTCTCTGTTCCCCGGGCCTCCACTGACAATTCTTCCAGCACCTAGGTTTTTACATTATTACGTCTAGAAAATCAGCTTTCTCTGTCTCTTTTTAGGCATGGCTGACCTACAGCTCTGGAAAGGCTGCTGATTAAAAAAAAAAAAAAAAAACTGGAGCATAAACTGAGAACAAACATTTTGTATCTCTCTCTCTCTTTTTTTAAAGATTTATTTATTTGTGCATACAAGAACTGGGGTACAGGCCAGAGGTGTGAGGGGTGAGAGGGTTCACCAGAGGGAGTGGAGAACAGAACAGGCAGACTGACTGAAATACACTGCTAAGTGGAGCAGCGGGCTAAGGGGGGACAGGAGAGTTCTGCTGCACCATGAGGGTAGCTCCTTGGAGGGCTGGGGATCGAACTCGTGCTGCAGAGGCTGCAGATAGCGTCATAGTGCTCTGTGCTTAACCCCTTGTGCCACCAGGGAGGACCTTGTATCTCTCTTCATTAAGCAACCTGCTTTCCAAGGTACATTCCCCTCTGATTTTGACTTTCTATAAATATCATGTCTTGAGACAGACAAACAAAATAGAAGCTGTCTTCATAACAAACACTTGTCCCATCTTCAGAATGGAATTGAAGATATACCTCTCCCAAGCAGATCCTCTGACTTCATATCATTCAGGTACTGTTTCCTCATAACATGCATACATACAAAATGCATATGTAATGTGTGTGCATAATGAAGTTAAGGGAGGATATAAGAAGGAGAGATAGAAACAAAGGAAGTGAGAAAGGAGAGAGATGTAAAAGGAAAAATAGAGGAAAGCAAAAAATATACTCCTAAACACATGATAACACATGAGAAGTTCTTATAAACTAAATATCTGTAGCTTCTACAGAGATGCTACCCTCCTTGCCCTAAGGGTCGTAGACATTGGTATATATTTTTTGCCATTGTTTCCTGGGTTATGGAAGTAAATTCCATAGAGAATTCCTTTTCCTTTGAGGTGGGATGTGCTTCTTGGCATCCCTAAGGTCCGTACCTGGCAGGCCTCTGCCTGATCCCGTAGCGCCTGCATGCTGTTTCCGAATGCGTTGAGGTCCACTAGGAAGGCCTCATGCTTCTTCAGAAGAGCCTAGATTGAGGGTGGGAGGTCATATCAGAAGCCATCCAGGAGGACTAAATTCCTTGGGGGTGTTTCAACTTTTATCATGGATTATGCCATTATCCTAATTCCTGGTAAGAGACACTTTTCATCTGCTAGTTTGCTTTAAACCCTAAAGTTGCAAGTATCTATTTCAAACAAAATGAAGTGAAAATTGCACAATTGTTTATTAATACATGTCAGAGCTGAAAGTAGATGCTGCTGATAATGTTATTTTGTAAGATTAAACACCAGCCTGAATTTATATGGTCATTTCAATTACTTCTAGTGTCAAAGGTTTGTGAAATACTATACTGACTTGCCCTAAGAAAATGCAGAAATCAAAGAAATAGATGTCATGGTAATTGTACCCTCTGATATTCGTCTTGCCCTAACAGATCTGTCTGATTGTATTTCAATAAAGTGATCAAGGTTCTTTAACCTTAAAGCCATGGTTAGTTTGTGAAATCCCAAGGTTACTCTGGGAAGTTTAGGAAGGAACCAAGACAGGCGTGGGTCCCTAGTCATGCCATTCTGGATTGAGATAACCTCTAAGGAAGGTATGATCTCTGTGGGATTAGAGAAATACATGAAACTTTTGGGACCTCTAGCAACTCTGAGGGTATCCTAGTGGATGAAGGCCAAAGGTTATCCCTCTTGAGACCCCAAATATTCTAACAGCCCTTATGCCTGTTCCATAATCTAAGCAAATCCTAAATTGATAAATTGGTACCGTTTGATGGAGACTGGACAACGCCAGCCTCAGGCCGCCCTTACCCCAGCTGCTTCTTCATCAGCCCCATAGTTAGTGTTGTCTACAATAGGTTCCTTCTCTCTGATCCACGCGTCTGCCTCATGTAGGTCAGCCAGGTACTGCTGGAACTGGACATTGGCCTCAAGGTCCTTCTGCCGTCTTGCAGCCCGAGCCTGAAGAGACTCCATGTTCTCGTTCAAACTCTTGACCCTAGAGGCTACATCTTCTGCAGCAAAGTGTCCTATGGGGCAGAAACAGAAAAGGTGGTGTGACCTTACCTAGTGTGACCATACTTTAGTCTTTGGATGACCTGGGAGAGGAAAAGGGGGTGTGAGGATGCTACCGCATGTAGTTAATATCACACTGAAGTTCCAGGGAATTGGAATGTCATAAGTGATGTCAAGCAGCACCAGGTACTAATGGGGGCAAGTGCGTGTGAGGTGTGAGTGACTGGTATTGTCCATGATACACACAGCTGAAAACAGAACACCTGTGTGTGGATACAACTCCCGGTTCCAAAAACATGTACCCTCTACACCAAACAGAAAATTCAGCAGATTTCCTTATCTGCTCATAAAGGATCACATTTATAGGAATATAATAAATGACTAGAAAACAGCATAAACTAAGAAACAATGATTTTCAGACACTAGGCAGAGAATTCCCTGAGAGAAGGGAATGAAATGAGATTGTTACGTTTATGCCTGGGGTAGGTTCTAGATTGCCTTGGGGGAGGCTAGCCCAAACAGAACCAGCAGTCTAAGGGGGCAGACAGGTCCCGGCTGGGGAAGATAGGGCAGCTGGGGCTTCTGGGCACTGAAGAGAAGCCCCTGACAGACAGAGCCTCAGAGGCCCCGGGAGAGGCCCCTGGATGGCTTGCTCCTTTGCACACAAAGGAAACCCTGGGGGTGAAGAGAGAATGACTGGAGAGCACTGAGCCAAACAATTCCTCAGGCTCCCAGAGGGCTGCAAATAATTAAAATTAGCACCAAAGTAAAACACACTATAACACACAAAGTAGAGTCCTTAGGTGGGTCGATCTTAGTAGTGAGTTAATTTTTAAATCTGTTCCAGAATAAAGGCTTCCCTGGATGTACATAAGAAAGTAGACGTAAGAAGCTCAGTGCCTGTCAAGCTGAAGAAACTGGATAAACCACACAGTACTACATCACAAATTGCTGAAAAAAAGGTTTAAATAAATCAGAGACCAAAAAAAAAAAAAAAAAAAAAAAAGAAGATACTGCATACAAAGGAGCAAAGAGAGCTAACTTCTGGGTAGATGCTCTGAAAGTTAGAAGATAATGCAGTAGTATCTTTAAAATACTAAGGGAAAGAAACTCAACCCAGAATTTATCTCTGTGGAGATATGTTTCAAAATGAAAGCAAAATGAAGTCTTCTAGATCAATGAAAGTCTAGAGAATTTAAGGCTGACAGACCTGTACTCTCAGAAATGTTACAGGAAGTGTTTCATATAGGTAGGTGAAATATCAATCTAGACAAAGGAATGAAATACAAGGGTGGGGGGGTGCAATTGTATGGGGAATATAACCAAAGTGAAAATGCATACATTTTGCAAAAATTAAAAATGATGTAAGAATTATTTAAAATAAAGTATTTTAAAAAAAGAAATGCACTGGAAGCGATCAATATGGGACTAAATATAAAAGGCTTTTTTCCTCATTCCATAGTCTCTTTCAAAGTCAACTGGTTATCAAGGTAAATATTCTGAACATCATATGTAAGCAAAAGAAGTTTATAAAGATGAGAGATCAGAATGAGGCGAGGCACTGAAACTATACAAAGTGAGAAATTTAAAGAAATGGGACTATTTACCATGACGATAATAAGGCACTAGGAACCCAAGACCTGTCTTCACAGATCTGGAAGCTTCCATAAGCAAAGGAGCCTTGTTTATTTTATAAAACTTTGGAACTTAGATTCTGAATTATGTCAGGTCTACAGAGAAGCATATTGATGATCATCACAAGGTGGGGAGGCCCCTATTTCTAGAATATACAAATAAAATCTGTATACCTGTGTCAGAATGCTGATAGGAAATTTCTACAATGGGTGGGAAATAGATCCGATAGCCTTATATTCCTGTGAAGCCATAAGATGGTGCAAACGTCTTCCCAGAGGTGACAACCAAGTAGCCTAAGCTGAATCGTACGTACCTTCCTCTACCATTTTGTTCCCTCTCTCGGTTATCACCCGGATGCGTGGCTCATGACTGGCAATGTCAGCAAGGATGACTTGGTGCCTATTTAGAAGATTCTTGGAGGCAACCAGGTCCTTACCTACAGAAAAAAAATGTGAGCTTTAGGATTATCTTGGTTCAAAGAAGTAACACACTTCACTTTTTTTGAACTCTTGGGCCTACATGTTCTTCTCTTCGAAGTTCTAATCATTGAGTGGGATTTTTTAAACTGGTGCTGCCTGTCTGAATTAACTGTACTCAATGTTGTTCTGCCTCTTGGCTCTTTGTAATGAGAAAATTCAATTCATTACTTTATAAAAAATAACAGAGAAATCCCGATTTTTCTTTGGAAGGTGGATAGAAGGGCATGTTAACATTGTAGCTCAAATTTCCAATAAGATAATATAACTGATTTTCTCTCAGCATGCAATATGGAAAAAGCAAGAACTGCCACTTGCTAAATAGCATGATCTTCAGAAGGTTCCTGAATACACTATAAAAAATAGATATAACTTAAAAAGTTACTCACTGAGGCCTAACGTGAACAGGTACTCAAGTGCCATCTATGATGAATGCCTCCATCTCTAAGATCACACAGTTCCAATTATCTGTTTCATCCTCCCTGTCTCTGTCTGTGCTCCACTTCTCCCCCCAAACTTTCCTTCCCTGTACTTCTAATTCTGAATGCCATAGAATGCTCTATATCCTTCCAGTGATCCTCAGCCTTTACTCTTCTAGCAAGTTTTCCAGACTAATCTCTCTCCTGCCACCATTGTCCTTCTCTCAGAAATGCTCTCACTTCATGCATGCGATGCTGTGTTATGTTTATGTTCACATTTTTCTGTACTTTGGTGCAAGTCTATCGACACCAACTCTGGTGAACAGACAACTTCTATAGGACAGGAATATCTGGATTTTGTTGGCCGCTTGACCCTTTTCATCCTTATAATGGATTACTTAATTATAAAAGGGAGTAACCAGCAAACTATACAAAAACACTTGGTGTCTCAAACACAAATCAAAGCCTCTCAGTACAAGACCTTTGTAATAGCTTAGGTATAAAAGCAAGTAGCACAAAAGACTCTAGCTCTTCTCAGGGGCCCTGTACTCATGGTACTACCTACATATGAACTTAGGAGGGCAATTTTTTGATATGAATTTATAACAAATTGTATGAAGAACTGGACAAATTTCCCTGACTCTGAGGGGAGGGAGCTGAGAGCAAACTTTTCTCCCCAGCTCTGCTGCAATTGCAGTTCTCTCAAAGGAGCTGAAATTTTGGTTTCTCTTTGCAGCTCAGTCTGTCCAGGTGGCACTGACCGAGGTAGGTGGAAGTTGCTGAGGGCTCAGTCTCCTGGATCCAGGCCTCCTCATCCTCTGTGTCTCTACAGATCTGTTGCAGGCGGAGGAGGTCAATGAGCTTCTTCTTCCGGACAGCCAGTGGCTCTTTCAGAGCATTGAACTGGGAAACCAGGGATTCCTGCCTTGCCCGTATGTCCCCAGCATCTGGATGGCCTGTTTCTTCAAAATAAGCAGCCAAGTCTGTGAGGGTATCCACCTGATCCTGAGAGAGAAACAAAGTGGGTTCAGGAAATCCCATCATTAATAGGAGGGGCTGGGGTTTGGGGTGAGGGGCCCATGGGGACAATCAATTTCTATAGCACTGTTAGGATCTCTGAGCAAATCAGTGAACTTGATCAGGAGAAATGACTACATCTAGAAAAACTTCATCAGCTATGAGCTATTTAAAGAAAAGTAGTTCTCAAACCACATCTCAAAGGATAACATTTTTGTAGAATGACTAAGGAAAACTGAAAATTTGGGGATAATTTTTAAAGTGTAAATATAGTAAGATTTATTTATAAAATTAGTAAAGGTATAAAAATAATTTATTAAATTAAAAGCATTTTAGGTACATGGCATTATAATTTGGCATCTATCTATCCATCTACTTGCTATCATCTATCTAGTACATTGTAGCCACATCCAAAAGTCTAGTTTCCATCCATCACTTTATGATTGATCCTTTTAACCCAATTTACCCACACTTCCCTTCTCGTAATCACTAAGTAGTGGTTCTTATAATCTAGGGTTTGTTTTTTTGCTTTGTTTTATCTTTCACAAATGTGTGAGATTACAAATTGCCTTTCTCCATGGGAAAAGAAATTCCCTTAGCATCATCCCCTCAAGATTCATTTATGTTGTTGCAAATGCCAGGATTTCACCTTTTTTTAAAAAAAAAAAAATCTGAGTAGTATTCCACGCTCTCTCTCTCTCTCTCTCTCTCTCTCTCTCTCTCTCTCTCTCTATATATATATATATATATATACACACACAAACACACACACACACATATATGCCACATCTTTACCAGGGTAACTTTAGCATCTTAAAATGTGTTTGGAAACTTTCCTTCCTTGATTTTTGGGAGCATTTTGAGAAGGATAGGTAATAGTTCTTTTTTGAACATTTGATTGACTTTACTGGTGAAGCTATCTGATCCTGGGCTTTTGTTTTTTTTAGAAACTTTTGATTACTGTTTCAACTTCCTTACTTATGCTCAAGCTGATCAGACTTTCTATTTCTTCCTGATTCAATTTTGGTATTTTGTGTGTTTCTAAGAATTTGTGCATTTTTTCTAGGTTGCCCAATTTGTCGTCATAAAATGTTTATAGTAGTCTCTTAAGATGAGTCAACTGGAAGTAAGTTTCTACTGAGTGCTCTAAAACTCACATTTCATATTTTACTCTGGAAACTTATTGGAAAAATGAGTCTGGTGAAATATTAGGAAGATCATTCTGGAACTGAAATCCTAGACAGCGGCATTATGGCCCTAACCCTGTTAATATGTCCTGTGGTGTCAGGGAAATTGCTTTACTTCTATTGGCTTCACCTCTCTTAACAGCAATAAAAATGACAGGATCAAAGGTATTTCCAAGGTTTGATTCACAGAATGCCAGAACAGGAGAGGGAATTTTATTCAACCTTATTTTACAGGTATGGAGATAGAGGTGTAAAAAGGTGAACAGATAAACTGAAGATCATACAATTAGTAAATGGCAAGGCTACAAATAAAACCCAGCACAGTGTTCTACTGTCTGGGCACAGTCTCCTATCAGCTACGGGACTGACAGAAGACATGAGCTGGGAGACGGTGGAGTAGAGGGGACATAGGGATAGGCAGTAGACCAACTGAAACTCTCCAAATGTTGCCTTTGGTTTTCTGTTCTCTTTCTCTCTTGACAATAATTTCTCATTATGTGTGTACTCAGAGCATATTCACCAGTTAGCCAGAAAGCTAGCAACAAACCTGGCGAGCTGTTACAGCTGACTCCAGGAGGCCATGTTTCCGGAGTAAATTCTGCACATCGGCCAGACCTTTTCCATAATCCTCGGAGGTGACCTGCCCCTCCACCTCCTCCAGCCAGCGCCTCAGGTCTTCTGCATTATTTTCAAATTGCAGTTGCTTGTTCGCTTCGTGCAGCTGGGTCCCTGGGAGCAGACATTGGTATAAGACATATTCCTCATTGTGCAATGACTGTTCCTCATTGCATGAAAATGTACCCTCCACCCACTTAAGGAGCAATATGTTATTTTGATATTGTAATGGGGAAAATATAACTGTCTAATGAGATTATATAAGAAAACACTTTAAGTGGTAGAATTTAGATGGTATTTGTTTTTTGAATATGTTTGTATTCTTAAAACAAAGATAATAAGGTATAGTGTCAAGTGAGGTATCATCTTGGGTATTTTCATGTCATTTGTTGCTTGCTCTTCAGATGTCTTTTTCAAATGAAAGTTAACCCAAGCACTATATTTTTCAAGAGAAGTACAAAACTTGGTGCTTGCTCAGTTTCAAATCTTGAAGTGTCTGTTTACAAATATCTTTCCCAGAATTGAGCTAACCCCTGTTAGTTCCTGTCCTTCAACACAAACCACCCTCCACAATTTTCTTTTCCAGAAAATGCCTCGATTACCCATACTGTTTTCTGTTAAATTCTCAATTCTATGACCTTATAATTATTATTTGCATTATTTCTGTGAAGCATTTACTGTGTTTCCTTAAGGGCACTTCTTATTACTATATGCAAGTTGTTTTCATTTTCCTAAAACAAAATCAAGTTGACATTCAAGACAAGCGGTGTAGTATATCTCTTTTATAAACTGGGCAGCCATGTCTACTGATGATGTTCATAACAAGAACACTGGCAAAGGAATCTCATGATTTGCTTTAATTATAACAATGAATTAGTTTTCCAGAGTGAAAGGTGAAGTTAAATGCAGACTATTCAGACAGTCATGGGGGATTTTTAAGGAGTTTTCAGATAGGAGAAAAAAAGCAACAAATTCATTTATATTCATTTATATGAATAACATTGTAGGAACGTCACATGTGACCCTGACAATCTTATACTGTCTGATTTAATAACTTGGGTCATAAAGGCTTGTCTATTGAACTAAAATATGTAAGTTTGATTTAAGTCATTAATTTTAGAAAAAGAAAAAAAGTTTAGAAAACAAGTCATTTCAGTGCAAAAAAACCTACAGATGTATGAAGAAAACATGAAATACAGTAATTTTAGGTCGGATTTAAAAATTTCTTAGCCAATACAGGATGACACAGCAAAGCAAGTGACCTTTCACAGAGGTCACCAGGCAAAGACGAGAATGGGAGGTTCTAGATTTAGAAATTAGCCTTTCACCAAATCTCTGCTTCTGACCTTTCTGAGCTGTTGTCTCCAGCAGTTCCTTCCAGAGGCTGGCAACCTCACTCACACGAGCTGCCACGTTTTCAGAGGCATAGTGCTCTCTTTCAATCATCTCCTGGCCAGTTTTCTCTAAGTTATTAAGCAGGTTCTCATTCGCTGCCAATTCTTCTTCAAAGACTTGCTGCTTTTGAACACGGCTCTTCAAGTTCTGTGTATCCTGAGATGACAAAAGAAGATAAAGGGGAATCATCATTTGAGAAATGAGGGGCAGGTGGGCCCTCCCTTGGTGGCACAGCGGTTGAGTGCTGGGCTGCGGAGCTGCCTGAAGCCTCTGCAGCGCCAGTTTGATCCCTGGCCACTGGTGAGGGTCCCACGTGGCGCACAGACCTCTCCTGCTGTGCCCGCTGCTCCCCTCAGCAGTGTATTTCATCAAGTCTGCCTTTTCTGTTCCCCGCTCTGGCTCTGGTGAATTCTCTCACCCTCCTGCGCTTCTGCCTGTACCCAGTGCTTGTATAAATGAATAAATAAATAAATAGAAAAAAAAATGAGGGGTAAGTGTTTTGAGGCCTGGGATTACTTCTCACTCTAAATATAACTGATTAGATTTAAACAGGATCCTTGGGACAACTGTCCTTGTCCAAGCACTGAGCCAGACAGCACTTAGGAATCTCTGTGACAACTTGCTCTGTACACATGGCAGGCATGGTTAATACATGTGTGCCTATATTTCTACTGAAACTGGTCATGCTCTGACGATCATTCAAAATATAACACTCCATACAAGCTTAACAATTGGTCAGAACTGTCTTGAAAGATGAAATTTGCATCATTCCTGCCATGAAACACCCACCCATTTTCCCCATGTAGAGAAGATATGTTTATCCTTCATATACTGGACCCATGACTATTCTAGAGAACACAAATACACATTCCTGAGTTTTACAGAAAGGCAGGTACAGTCCTTGTTCATATAAAAATATAAAAAGATCATAAGTACACATATAAGAGTAAATTATATCTAAAAAAGTAAATACTGTTGGCCTCCCTGCGGTGCAGCAGGTTGAGTGCAGCGCTGTGAAGCTGTCTGCAGCCTCTGCAGTGCGGGTTCGATTCCTGGCTGGCCAGGGAGATTCCCAAATGGCGTGGCAGACCTCTCCTTTCTCTCCCGCTGCTCCCCTCAGCAGTGTATTTCAGTTGATCTGCCTGTTCTGCTCCCCACTCTGTCTCTGGTGAATCCTCTCACCCCCCGCATGTCTGGCCTGCACCCCAGCTCTGTATGCATAAATAAATAAATCTTAAAAAAATAAAAAAAAAAATGAGGTTCAGTGCTGAATGCTATGGTCCTGCCAACTCCAAGACTAATTCCATAAAGCACAGTTGGGATGAATATGTCCAGGGCTGGAAAACTATACCTACCTTGTAATCTTCATCATCTGCCAACTTTTTCTTCTTATTGATCCAGTTCTTCAGGTCATCTGAGTCTTGATACAGTTGCTGCAGAAGCAATGAATCCTCCAGCATTCTACGTCGAATGGCGGCCCTTTCCTGCAGGGCATCCCGCCGGGCCAACAGCTGCAAAAACAGAAGCATACTCACTTAGCAGAACCAATTATGGACACACTGGAATCACTGCCCATCTTGGCTACGATGACCCCGGTACCTTCCCTGACCCCAGAGTGCAGGAGGGGAGGTGGAAATATGGCCCTTTGAACATACCCCGTCCCGGATAGCAGCGATATTCTCGGAATCATAATGGTCATTGTCAATCAGTTTCGTTGCTGTCTTGTCCAACGTCTAGGAAAAAAATTGAGTGGTTTTCCCTCAGTGATCACCTAGCATGTGGCTGCAGTTTGGGTAGCTGTTAAGGAGGAACCATGGTAACATGGGAAGAGGACAAGTTTGAGGGTCTTAAGATCTGGGTCCCAGTTCTGATTTTGTTATAAATTGTTTTTAAAATGTTTACCTTGGGCAAATTCACTATCCTTTCCATGCCACAGTACTTTTTAAGCTAGATTGTAGGAAATAAGTTCTGATGTCTCTGAAAGATTAATATTTGACCTATCCTTAAATCTTTAAGAGGAAGCATTTAGCATGTCCAGCGATCAGTGTATGCATGTACCTAGCATCGCATTTATATCCACATTTATGTATATATCCTCCAGCCACATGAAGAAAGGACTCAGAAACTGTAGAGGTGAATTTTTACTCACATTCATTATGAACTCCTTCACTTGCTAAAGCTCAGAATGGATTAATTGATGGATTAATGGATTAATAGATTAGGAATATAAAAATCATCTAAAATAAAGGGTAGCACTTTAGAAACAATAGAATTATTTTACCCACTGTGCAGTCTTACTAGGGAGAATCAGCAGAGCAAGTATATGAACTAATCAGGAATTATACTAAACCCTTAATTGGTTGAAGATTAGCAGGGAAGACTTGGAATTTGATTATTTTTGTTGTTACTGCTGTTGGCAGTGATGGTAGTGGTGGTGGGGTGTGTGTGTGTGTGTGTGTGTGTTTGTGAGTGTGTGTGTTATGTGACTCTAAGCCAACACCATCCTGTTTATATAATGACCTGTTGTCTGAGACATTGCAATTTAAGTTTCACTGGAAATTTGTAATAACATTAGATAGGAAACACATAGAGGAGGATCTACTATTAAAGAATGGGTTACTTAGATATCTAGATATTGCTAAAGAAAAATAAATGTAGATATTCTGAAGAATAAACAACTGAAAAATAACTAATACATTTCAAATTTTGAAGTGATGATTCTATAGATATGGATCCAACAGTTTCTATTTATACTAAGGAAAAAAAAACAACAATAATGCACTTTATCAGAAAGTATAAATAGTCTGAAGTCTTTTAAAAACTTTCTAAACATGCTTTGTGGAATAAGAACTATGTTGGTAAAAATAGGTATGAATGTATTTCTAGATGTTTTCTATTTTAAGAATAATCCTGAATTACAACTGCCAGCTATAGGAGTGATTCCATCTAAGGACAAATATTATAGAGGATGATATGAACAAACTGAAGCTGAGGTGCTCATTTGGGCCCAACCAGTGCCCATTTCTTTTTCTTTTTTCACAAAGATCTGAGGTGTAGGCCAGATATTTGGGAATAGCATTGACCAGAGACAAAGTGAGGAGCAGAACAGGAGGATCTACTGAAATACACTGCTGAGAGGAGCAGTGGGTGAGATGGGAGAAGTTTGCTGCACCATGTGGGGTAGCTCCCTGGCAGAGGATGGAATGCAGTCCATAGCAGTGATAGCACTGAGACTTAAACCCTAGGCCACCAGGGAGGTCCACGGGCCCATTTCTTACTGTGATCTTCTCCTCCTGGGCAGTGAAGGCTTCCTCAAAGTCATCATGCTTCTGGAGAAGGGCTTCCACACTGCCCAGAGAGTTTCCCAGGTCCTCATTGTCCAGGAAGGCCTATGGAAGACAGAATAATGTACTGCAGCAATGTTTTGTTGGTGAGACACATTCCCTTGGGAATATCTCTGAGACAAGGACTAGGGAAGATGACAAGGGAGTTGGAAAGCAAGATGGGAAGCAGCACAAAGCAGAATAGCAGGTAAACAAACCTCCAACAGCAGGAGCTTCAGATTTCCTTCCTACATCTTTTTACAACTTTATTACGTATTTGTCTAGATCTGTCCATCTAGAATTCTCCCCCCCGCCAATCCAAGCACTAGTCTGAGTCCTCAAAGCTGACTCAAGAAACACACTATTGGGGGGGGGGGAGGAGGGAGTGGGGTCAAAATAAGGGGGTTGCAATTGTATGGGGAATATAAAAATAAAATTAAAAAAAGTAACAATAAAAAATAAAATGCTACTTTATAAAACTTATATTCAGGTTGACATGAAACTGGTATGCATGAAAAATCACTTTTTGTTAGAAATATTCCTCCACAAGAATAATTTTCTCTAAATATATTGAATTCATATTTTAAATTGGTATGTGGACTCAACCATGTACCAATAGAAAGTGCATATAAAATATACTTAACAGGCCTAATTACAGCTGTATCATCAGAAAGATCCTTCTCAAAAATAAAAAAGTGTATATATATATATATATATATATATATAAAAATCTGACTCAAGAAGACCACTCACCTCCTTCAAGAAATCTCTACAAAACTCTGACTTATCACAATTCTTTCTTCCTGACCCCTTAGCAATTTGATATTCATTCTGCCTTATGTTCAGTGGAGGTTAAAGCCTCTCTGCTATGGAGAGAACCAGCAGAGCAGTGTATCGACTAATCAGGAGCCATAGTTAGTACTTTTCTATGCATCTGCCATAAAGATATTGTAAGAGTCTTATATACAGAACCAGTGTGTTCTCCTCCTGGGTCACATTTCAGTTCCCAGAAGAAGCTCTGGCTCTAGAAGTGGTTGTTAGGATGCTGGCAGTCATCAAGGTGGTTAACAAGGAATGGGAGAAATGGCTTCAAGACACAAGCTGAGCCCCCGAGTACCTCTTGTCTGCTCATCCAGCTGTCCACTTGCTCGCTGTCACGGTAGAAGAGGTGCAAGTCCAAGCAATGTTCATACTGACGCTGGCGCTCATCCCACAGTCCCAGCAGAGCTGCCCAGTTGTTGGCAAGTATGGCCATCTTTGGAAAGGAAGTGATAATGTGCCGGGAACATGATTAATTTATAGTAGCATATATTTACTGAGCATATATTAAGGGCAAGGCATTTTGAAAAACATAAAAATGAACAGAAAGTGGACTTTTCTTTTAATAATCATGGTATAGGAAAAATTGGATGCCTGCCATAAAAGAGGTACACCACATTTAATATGTACAAATAAACAAGAGAAGATTCATTTTGATTAGAAGAACTAGGGAATAGAAGTATAGGAGATAAAGCATGAAACAGAAATTTAAAGTCTTGAAGAGGGGATAGTCAGTATTGTAGGGCAGAATACCACGAGCAGGTAGTTACTTAAGTCATTGTTAGAACATGCAGGTGCTCCAGAGAAAAGGGCAGAGACTAAACAGGCTAGATATTTAGTGATGTCCAAGTTCACAGAACACTTCAATGATCAGACAGAGAATTTTGCATTCTATTCTGAAGGCAAATAAGAGCTAGTAAGGAAAGAGAAAAGGGAGGTACATTCTCAAACCCATGAAAGCCTTTGCCTCTGCCCAAGCATCTATCAAAGAAAGTCCAGCTACTAATCTAGCTGCTGCATTAAGTCCATGAAAAAGGCAGCACAAACTCTCAGAATCCCTGGATGAAAGGTAAATGTCCAAGAACTTAGGGTCCTGCTGATCCCGTGGCAGAAAATTGTTAATAGTAAAATCCACATTATATTGCTCCCATAGAGTTTTGGGGCAGTTCCAAATGTGGTTACCCCAACCTCATCTATCACACAGTGCTGGAGCTTGTGCTTGGAAGGTAATGAGATGCAAAGAAACTGACCAATCTTATTTTAACTGTGGTCCCACAGAGTTTGGTGATTGCCACCACCTTCCTAGCATCTCCTGGGTCAGGGCTGAGGTCAGCCCTCATGACCCAGGTTAGGATGATGCAAACCTGGTTCTCCACTCAGTGGAGTTTTGAGAGTTTCAAATGTTCCTGTTATTTAATGTAAACCTGAAAAACATGATATAGGAAGATCAGTTGGATTTGCGGTTATGTAGAGGAGAGAAGGAAGGTACAGACTCCAGCCAGGAGCCACGCATTCTCCTGGCATCTTAGGGAACCAAAGATGAATATTTTCTCTGTATTTTTACCTAGAGGAGAGCAAGGAAAAGTGATAGAACAGGACAGGTGTGACAAGGTGTGATAGCATGGAGCTATTATATCAGGTAGAAGGTGAGCTGAAGAAATGAGCTAAGGTGATGAAACAAAGTCTTGGTGGTGAGGTAGCATCCTATCCTCAGGACTTCAATTTCATTTCCCTAAAGCAACTTGTGAAGGTAGTGGTGTGAGCAGAAGGTTCTGTTGCTGACTTGTCTACATGACGTCCCCCCTCATACCCCTCAGAGGGCCTCATATTATTATGAGATTAAGTGAGGGCTAAAGATTATCAAAATTTCACAGACTGTGAGACTACAGTACCTTTTCCCGAACTTCCTCGGAGGCCTCGTGATTGGCATCCAGCAGGTCTTGTCCAGTCTCGTCCGCAGATTGGAAACGGTCATCGTAAGAGTCAATCTCATGCTGTGGCCACAGGACAAAATGTCTTAGGACACAGCCAAAACCTTCTGCATCTTTGACATGAGCTAGTCTCCTCCCTCACCCTGCTGCTGGGCCCCCACCTTGTGCTGCTGATGTCTGTCCAGCAAGGCTTCCCCACCAGCCACGTCCGTGGGCAGCTCATCAGCGTTGATCAGTGCGGTCTTCTCCTTCATCCAGCCTGAGAGCTCCTCATAGTCAGACAAGAACCGCTGGTACCTGTGGGGAAAGGAAGGGCAGGGAGGAGAAGCAACCAAGTGGACTGGAGGAAGAGAGAAGCTGGACTGAATTGAGATGTGCAGCACACTCAAGGCCCTGATGGCACCCCTGGGTTCCTTGGTGTACTGTCTGTTCCTTTGGGCACAGGGAGTTCCTTTGCTCCAGGTGTATAATTCTAGGTAGCTGGGTCCTTGTGTGCGAGGCACATCTGTATATTACACTTCCTGGTCACAAGGTCGTACCCACTCAGAGGACTTGAAGTGGCCAATACATAAGCACTAAGATATAGCCAAGAGGAAACTTGTCTGGAAAGGGAAGTAGAGCTACGCTTAGGGACCCCCGAATATCCCCGCCTCCTATATCTCAACTCAGCTTAACCTATTAACCACAAAAAGAGAAACCACAAAAAGTTACCCATTTAAATGTCATTGTTTGGTTTGAAATCATAACAATAAGATAAATGCTCTCTTTTGGTGATTTAAAGACTAATCATAAAAATTAACTACTGAAAACAATGTCCAGTATTTTGTAATCCACTTTAAGGAGATAAAACTGGATTTCTTTTTATTCTTTTCAGCTTGGAAATTCAGTTTCTTAGCCAGGGTCAGTTTTGATGTTCCTCCAAAGCTTTCCAGCTTCTGGGTGACATCACAGCACCCTACCACTATTCTGAGGAAACAGAGGGGTGCAGTGACATCCTGCAGCTATGCAGAGAAAGAAAAGGAGTGTAGGCGGGAGGAGGTCATGCTGAGTATTTTGCTGGACTGCATGTCACTTTGATCAGAAAATTAAAGCTTCTATTTCCTCCACTGAGGTCTGAATTCCCTGTTATTTTATCATGTTTACTCTTTTATTTCTGCCTTTGATGGGCCACTTGATACAGGAGAGATAGCTAAAGCAACAGAGAGGAGGGGTTCCCCACCAGTAAGAGGCCTGCAGCTTTGCATATCTGCTGGTGGCCAAGGCACGAACATGCTCCCAGTTGGAGGTGAGATCCTCTTTCATCTGCTGGATCTGAGGGGCATCTGAAGGATGGGAAATCTTCAGCTTGTCTGCTTTGGCGCATAGCTCTTTTACCTTTGGGATGAAGAAGAAATCTCATGGGAAATGCCAGCATTCTGACTCCTCTTGGCAAAGATTTATGGAAGGTATGCAACAAACCCATCATATAAATAACAATTTAGAAATACATCTTTATACAAATATTTATATTAACATCTGAAGGTAGTATATTAATAATACATTAATCATTTACTGAGCACTGTGGCATTGTGCTAAGTACTTCACATGCATTTTCTCAATTTATATTCACCACTTACTAATATTAACAGGTGAAGTTATTGCTGTTCTTCCCCTATGTGAAAACTAAGATGTAAAATATTTTATTTGTTCAAGATCTTTCCATTAGTAAGAGTCAAAAATAAGATTTGGGCCCAAGTCCATTCCTCATACCTTCTATATTGTTTCCCAGATATTATTGTGGGAATCAGAAAGACATTTCCACCCAGGGAAATTTCTGTTGAGAAAATTCAGTCATGCCAAAGCATTTTGACCACAATTCCTAAGAGCTCAGACTCAGGTGACCTCCCACATTTTATTTTCCTCTTTAGACTAAATATTATCAGGTGTTGCCTAGGGTTTCAATTTGTCATTATTCATCAGACCATAGTATTTTCTTATTCATTATTAGGAAAAAGGCCAAAGGTTAAAGAAAAATGAGAGGTGGATATGAGGCAGCCTTAGAAACTGGACAGGGGTTGGAGCTGCACAGCAGGCGCTGTCTTTCCCTTGCAGACTCAGCTGGTGTTGTGAGGAGTCCCTAGTTTAGGTCCTGGTGAGAGTTGGATGGGTAAGAAGCGTAGATGGAAGCATTTAGAACATGGGGTAGCTCTGAGTTCTAGTGTCTGAATCTGCCCCCCGGTACAAGAGCAGGCTTCCCAGCTTTCAGAAGAAAATCCAAACACAGATTTAGTAAGAGGCTGTGAGAGTCTCAAGTTTATTTTAAAAGGGGAAGAGAAAAATGCTTCCCTGATCTACTGAGCGAAGGACAAAAGAACAAGAGTCTCCAGGTGCAGTAGAGGACACTGTGTCTAGATGGGAAGGAAGACTGTGGCCACAGAATACCGAAATGAGGGGACCATTCTTGGGGTTGCTTTTGGGGGGCAGGGGGCTTGTTTTTTAGTCACAAAATGTGTTACCAAAAACCTACGAGAGTATACAAAACATTAATGTGTATTTAAATAAAAATAAATTTAAACAAAGGATTTCCAGTATTCCTGTACAAGCCCTCACTAGAGTGAGGAGTTCTCTTTAGGGAGCACTGACTTGCTCCTTCAAGGAAATCATGAATTGGCTCTGGAGGCAGGGCAGCACCGATGCCTCTTCCAGCTCAGAGCCAGACTCAGCCAGCTGGCTTACCTTGTCGTGCATGACAGCAAGGTTCCTTTCGAGTCCCTTGTGACTGTGGAACAGAGCCTCGGAGCTCACGAGGTCCTTGCCATAGTCCTCAGACATGAGTAGAGGCTCCTTCTCCTTGATCCACTGGATGGCTTCCATCACATCCCTGCCAGGCAGCCAGGTGAGTGCCAACCAGAGAGTGGCAGACATTCCAGGGCAAACGGAGCACACTACAAAGCCTAGCTTACCCACCTCTCACCCCCACTGCAAACAGCCCCATGAAGAGCTCTGGCTTTTAGCGGTTTCCATTTGGATGTTAGGGACCTGGACATCCTGCCCACTGAGCCTCCAGAGACACTTCCCCTGCCTGAGTTACCTCCTCAGGGATGTCTTTTTACTTCTTAAATCCACCTCCACCCTCACCCAAATCTTAATCTGCTTTCCTCACCTCTGCAGAGCTCCATCACTAATTCTCCTGAGCTAATCTTAGTGCGTTGGGCTTCAGTTTCCACACACTTGGCCATGGCATGGGTCATGGTTTTCTTAAGTACCTTCTCCTTTGCTGTCTTCAAGACAGGCACATGATTTTGTATGGTTTGAGGGATTGGCCACTAATTATTAATAGAAGAGAGAGGCAGACACAGAGGACAAACTTGGGGCTGTGACAGAACTCCCATAATGTGGTGCCCAGGTCCATGCCTTTTGAATCTCTGGAGGTCTGCAGCATTGGATAGGGTTTTCCGTCGCTGGAGGGCCAGGCCGTGGAGACGCCCCCAGGCAGCATTCACCTCGTCCTGCTTTGACTTGATCAGGGGCAGCTCAGGGTGGTTCTCCTGTGGGAGGAAACCAAAGCTGGAGTCAGCAAAGTGAGATTATTCTGTTCTCCATGTAAACCCCTCATTGCACACTGGTTCATGCCTTGCAGCAGTAGACCGTGACTGCGTAACCAGACACTGAACTTCACCTAGCTGTGCTCCCTAGCTCTGAACTGATCCACATCATTAGAATCTACAAAACCAACTTATCAAACACTGTATCTTTTGCCCACAACACTGGACTGACTACTACACAGGGTGTTATTCATGGTGTTAAAATTTTTAGAACTCCATCTCATTGATGTCTTGCCAAATCTCTGAAAATTCTGAAAAAAAAAAAAAAAAAAAAACCAGAAAATTCCCTTTGTATAATAAATATGACTTCGTTTTCTAAACTTTAATGTGGTGGCTCTTAACTCCTTGGGGTTCCTGGTAACTTTGAGAATGCTGTAAAAGTTATTTCCATTTCCCAGAATTACATGTATACACATCCAACTTTGCAAAAAATTTCCAAAAATTTTGCAAATGACATCTGGAGCATGAGATTTACAAATACCAGATTAAGTAAGTGGCATCATCCTGTTTTGATGCTTGGTAATTTTGAGTAGTTGCCACGTGCCCCAGTCTCACTACTGCACCTGTCCCTGTGTCTCCCCATTTCTATTCCCATTCTGAAATCTGTCCTGGCAGAATTTTTCCATCCTCCTTCGAGAGTATATGACTCTTCTGCAGCTGTGTAGACCCTCCCAAGGCAGCAAAGGACACACTGTACCAGGTGGAATAAACCCTTCCCATGTAGACTAGAGAGCCGGCTGCATGCTGTACTGCAAGGCCCTCCTAGCAGGAGGTGGAGTCTGTTTCCTCCTTTGGATCTGGGTTGGCCTGTGACCTGCTTCCCAATAGGCCAGGAATGACATTCTGAGCTCCAGTACTGGGCTCAAGAGGACTCTCAGTCTGTCTGCACCTTCGTGGAGCACTGACACATAAAAAGGCATGGAACACAAGAGACCATGTGGAGAAGAACTTCATTGTCCTCACTGAGACCCTGACATAAAAACAAAGTTATTCTGGATCTTCCTCCCACCAGAGCATTGCAGCCACGAGAGCACCAAGTGGCCACAGGACTGCAAGCTGAACTGATGACTCATGAAGAAATAAGATGTTTGCTATGTTAAGTTTTGTGGCCAATGCAAGGCAGTCATAGGTAGCTGAAAAATCACCACGAGAGAGGTAGTAGAGGCAGAAAATTTAAGGATGTTGAAATGTATCCAGCAAAAAAAAAAAAAAATGACTATTTTCCCTACTCCAATTCACCCTGAAATCTTGTTCGATTAATACAGAAAGATCTTCCCATGACAGTGCTGCAGGAAGGATGAGACACCAATGGAAAAGCACAATAGCCAGCTATTGCCATTTCTATTCTTTTATGAACATGTAAAATCAGATTGATTTGCCAGCTGTCGTACACACAAGGGGGTTATTTATTCCCACACCCTGCATGTATCTTCTCGGATATTTCCTTAAGTAGAAAGACAACCTGCCCCTCAATCCTTCCCCCACAAAAGAATCATGGGAATGATGTCATGTATGCTATGCCAGTCCCCCGCTATTTTATATTCTTTGCTACTTTATGATGGTTCTTCATGAAGACAGAGTGTGGCACAAACAGTAGTAATCAGTGCAGCACAAGGCAGGAGTTGCCTCTTTGAGGACACATACATGCACACAGTTTTACACACACATGCTTACACACACACTCACAGAGTCATCCACACACTGCACACACACTTTACATACACAGTCTTACATGCACACACTCACACACTCACATCCCTATACTTTCGTACAAACTTACACTCACACACACACACTCATAGTCACATTTACACTGCACACACACCCAAACAGTCACATCTCATACACTCACACTCACACACACACTCATACACTCACACCTCCGATTCCATGGTCCGGAAAGTGATGGGACTGGAGAGAAGAAACTGATCTGGGAGTGTCACTGCAGGGCCCTTCTGCTCCCCCTCGATGTTCTATATCCCCCTGGTCCACTTACTAATGCTTAGAAGTTCTCCCTGAGGGCCAGATTCTTTCCCTAGGTGGGCTCTCACCTCAGCACACTCATTGGCATATTGGTTTACTCCATCCACTCTGCCCTTTCGAGCTGCCAGGTCCACCTGGAACTCTTCAAACTTCTTGTGCAGAACCTCTGTGCGCTCCCAGTCATCACCCAGCTCCACCGATGTCACTATTGCCTCCTGCAGACAGACAAGTCACCAGAAATCATTGAGGAATTCCTGCAAGTCAAATGCCCTAAGCCCCTCCCTCCTGTTTCTCAAATGGGGGAAGCACCCTTTTATGTGTTAAAAGTTAAAATGTATATTTGAAACATAATAAATTCATCCTGTTCTACGTAATTTGACATACTTGGTATCAATAAAAGCATTGTGTCAAGCACTTACTTATGCAAATTTTCAGTCCTAATTACAGTATTATTTTTTTAAGTATTTAGAAAAATAGAAACTTCCATAATGACCGAGACTGAGAGACAGGGGTCAGGGAATGAGCTGCCAAGACTCTCAGCCTACACCCAGAAAAAAGCAAACATCTAGAAGGAGTCAGGCATCACAGAAGTTGGGAGGAGACAGGTTTCACTCATTTTCAATGCACAGACCATCCGCCAATGATTTTTGTATAGTCCTGTGTTTTCCATGTTCAATTCCATCCCTTCAGACCTACTCTCCTACAGTAGTAATAACCTCCAAGACACCCCAAATATTTACCAAAATTCATCCTTACAAGGGAGCAAGTCCAGGTACAGACATTCTGATTTCTTAATGAATAGCCTTCGCTAGGTTGCTATGGGATAAAGGGCAGCAGGATGAGAAGTGCTGTACCTTGTCTGCGATCCACTCCAGGATGTCTGCACACTCCTGCAGGTACTGCTGGAGCCTCAGGGCACGCAGTAGCAGGGTGCCCTTCTCCTGAGTCAGCTCCAGCAGCAGGTCCCATAGGCGCCGCAGCTCTTCCAGGTGGACCTTTGGGAAGGGAGCAAAGCCATTCAGGCACAGATGCTGTGGGGTAGGTGGAGACTTGTACAGAAAAAGACCTGGATAAAAATGCCTCCTCTGCACTAGCACTAGTTCAACACAAATCTACAAGAGGAAATGGGCTATGTAGGGAATGACCATTAAACCAAATCAAACATGATCTTCCATTACAGAAATGCTTTAAAAATGCTTTGGGGGCAAAGATAAACAGCTGGGACTACATCAAATTAAAGAGCTTCTGCACAGCAAAAGAGACAATAACAAAAACAAAGAGAAACCCCACCAACTGGGAGAACATTTTTGCACACAACACTAATGATAAAGGACTGATCACAAAAATCTGCAAAGAGCTGATGAGACTCAGCAACAACAAAGAAAATAATCCAGTCAAAAAATGGGCAGAAGAGCTAAAAAGAAACTTCTCTGAAGAGGAAATGCAAATGGCCAACAGACATATGAAAAAATGTTCAACATCACTTGTAATCAGGGAAATGCAAATCAAAACTACCATGAGATACCATCTCACACCAGTGAGAATGGCACATATTAAAAAAACTAGCAACAACAAATGTTGGCGAGGATGTGGAGAAAAAGGAACTCTTGTGCACTGTTGGTGGGAGTGCAAACTGGTCCAACCACTATGGAGAGCTGTGTGGAGATTTCTGGACCTACTAAACATAGAGCTTCCATATGATCCAGCAATTCCACTCCTAGGTATTTACCCAAAGGACACAGAAACATCAATTCCAAAGAGCACCTGCACACCTATGTTTATAGCAGCACTGTTTACAATAACTAAGCTTTGGAAACAACCCAAATGCCCAAAAATAGATGACTGGATCAAGAAGATGTGGTACATATATACCATGGAATATTACTCAGCATTCAAAAAAGATAAACACATGCAATTTGCAGCAACATGGATGGCGCTGGAAGGGATCATGCTCAGCGAAATAAGCCAAAAAGAAAAAGAAAAATACCGGATGGTCTCACTCATAGCAGGAATCTAGAAAACTTAAATAAGGGACCAGGAAAATGAATATAAGAAAGTGAAAATCAAAATCAACAAAAAACTATGAACCAGAGACACTTTTTGGGGGGTGGGGGGCGGGAGGGGAAGGATTGGGGTCAGAATGGGGCGTTTGCAATTGTATGGGGGAATATAAAAATAAAATTTAATATTAAAAAAAAAATAAAAATGCTTTGGGGTTTTAGAGGATGAAGTGGTTACAAACAATATGACAGGGTGGAATAAGGATTCAAAGAAGAGTACTTGTTTGCACTGCACCTTGAGAAGCAGAAAGAATTTTAGATGATGGCAAGAGAGTGTTCCAAGGCCTGGCAAAGACATGGCAGAAATAACATGAACTGTTTGCTGGAAAGGATAAAGCTACAGTTTTGCTCACCTACAAAGGAAATCAGACAACAGCAAAAGGATTTTAGGGTATATAGTTGAGAGTATTGATACTCAGTTTAGCTTAGAAGACCATGTCTTATATATCTTGAAAAATTGAGGGTATCATCTATGTCATGTCTTCAAGAATTTTGCATTTTTTGGTCACCCCACTGCACATAGCACACAGAGCACCTGCCTGTGATAACCCCAGGGACTCTGTTGTTTCAGGCATTGCTCAAATATTTGAATGAAGGAAGGACATTGTTGGCACACACACACACACACACACACACAACCCCTGTGAATAATTCAAAAATGATTTCTACTTTATATCAATGAATAAGTTTTGAGACTTTTCTTCTTTCTAATAAGGTTCTACTCTGGTTCAAATCTGTGTTCTCTGATCAGTCCCACTTGGCTGACAATAAAATGGGGTAGATTTTATCTAGGTTAACATGAAAAGATCCTGATTTTTAAATCTGTAATACAGATTTGTTTTTTCACAATTACAAACATAAAGGTAAAAAATCCCTTATGCAAAAGAGATCCTGAATCAACTATATCAGCCCAAACATGTTGGCAGAGCACACAGACTGAGTCAGAATAGAGCTGATGCATTAATAAGGGGTTCCAAAGTTGTAGTGACTCTCAGTGCTCAGGGAAGATTTTTTCTGAAGTCATGGGTTGTAGGAGAAATATAAACAGCAGCATCTGGAGAACAGCAAGAGTGGTCCCAGCAATGGATGGTGAAGAGAAAGGAGCAGTGTAGACAAAGGAAGAGACACTTCAGAGAAGAACTGGGTGGGACAACAGCCCTGTTTGAAGAAGTTAAAGGACAACGAATCTTGAGATTAGAAGAAATGATGAGAAATGACATTTGGGAAAATTTATTGGTCAGGAAATGTGGAGCCGAGTTGGCATGGGCTTGGTCTTATGCCAAATTATCCTGCTATGGACAAGGTGGAATGAAATACCAGCTCTTCTCCCACAAGGAGCACAGTGCAGTAAAAATTTAGTGGCAGGAGCCCTAGTTTCAAGCCAGAGACATTGAGATTTATACATGGCAAAATCAATGAAAGCATAATCAATAACTAGAAGCTTCTCTTGGAGACCCTGACCATACATTTACCTTGGTATCCTCATGGGCAAAATGACCCTCAGCAAATCGAACTTTCCTGATTTCTTCCAGCTCAGGAATGACCCTTGATTTTGCTTGCACCTCTGCTTCAAAGGATTCATGCTTCTGATATTTTCCCTGCAGATTGGAAATCGAAGTTTAAGGTTTTAAGTGCTCTGGAGCTTAAAGAGGCCCATTTGTTTCTCTTCTTACTTTTAGGCAGAATGACTCATTTCCAACTTAGATTAAGTGATAAGCTATGACATGCTGAAATAAATGGTCCCTCTGGGTCAAGTGACTACTTAGAGTTTGAAACAGTCCCAGGTTTAAAGTCAGGGAGCAAAGAGGTAGCTTTTTTTTTTTTTTTTCAATGTTCCTGCCACTTGGGGGAATTTCCAGTTATTCCTTTGTTATTTTGAAGTTCAATTATCTTCTGTAAGAATGAAGGAGTAAAACACATAGAGTTCTCTGTTTTAAAAAGAGAAGTAACTAAGTGCTATTGAACGTAGAACAGAATGAGGAAGATGATCATTAAGTTTATTTTAATTGAGGTTTTTTCAAGCCAGACTATGTTCCTCTTGTCCTATATAAATTGATGCATTTAACAGATGTCAGTTTGGTCTGGTTCCAGACCTCCCTTTCCAACATCCATGAGCCAGTCTGGGCATGCAGCCCTTTCTTCTGATCCTGACAACATACTATCCTATAGCTCCAGGAGGGAGTGTCCTCCAAACCTCTCCTCTTGGAACCTCTCATTTGGATTTAACCAGGAAAATTAATAGCCATTTGGGAAACAAAACAAAACAAAACAAAACAAAACAGGAAAATCCCAGGTTTAACTCATGTCTTTCTATGGAGAGTGTTGTTTAGAGTATGGATGTCTCTTTAGAACCTAAATGTCACAATATATCAACATCAAGTTAAGATTAACTTCCTAAGAATGTTACTTTCACAGAATGCTCTCCAGGGCCTCCCTGGTGGCACAGCAGGTTAAGCGCCACACTGTGAAGCTGTCTGCAGCCTCTGCAGCACTGGTTCAATTCCTGGCCTGCCAGGGAGATACCCACATGGCGCAGCAGACCTCTCCTGCCTCTCCCGCTGCTCCCCTCTGCTGTGTATTCAGTCTGTCTGCCTGTTCTGCTCTCTGCTGTGTCTCTGGTGAATTCTCTCACCCTCCCGCACCTCTGGCCTGTATCCTAGCTCTTGTATAAATAAATAAATTGTAAAAAAAAAAAAAAAAAAAAGAATGCTCTCCAGAGTGAGTTTCCTTTGTAACCAAGATACTGAGGCTTAAAATGTTAAAGACATGGGCTGTTTAGAGGTAGAATTACTGTCCTTTAAAGATAGTCTAATCTTTTAATTACATCATCCCCATAGAGTTAACAGTCATACTCTTACAACACTGCTCCCCTCCCTACAGATCTCTGGGCAAGTGGGGACATCAGTGGCGCTGAGAGACCTGTATGTTTGTTGGATCTTCATAGTTCTTGTCGCCTGCAATCTTGAGTTTCTCCAAGATCCATTTCTCCAGGTCATCTGCATCCCGTCTAAACACCTGGTAGTGATAGGACTCTTCTAGCTTCTGCCCCCTCTCAGCAACCAGCTCCTTGAACCTCTGATACCGAGCCAACACCTCCTGACGCCTCTCCTGGATTTCTTCTGCTGTCTCCAGCACCTTTGAGCCACCACTCTCCATAACCTGCAAATAAGAAGCTTCTCTCTATATTGCTAGTTCTGAAATCTCTAAAATTCTGACTATTTCATATATCCTGGGCATTTGTTCATGTTGGCCCTAAGTCAAGACATCTTTAAGTCTTTGAAAGCCTGTTGTTATAAGGGCTGTAGTGCGTTCATATAATTTGACCACATACAGTTATTAGGCTGACCATTCAAAACACTTTTCACATAAGCCTGTACCAACATTTATTAATTCTTATAAATAGAACTAATGTGCACTAATGATGGAGGACAAGTTTAAATGAGCTAAATCTCAGATTTTCAGACAAATAAAAAAGAAACATGATTTTATTGTTTTCAATGGCTAAAAAGGTATTGGCAAGTACTGATTACTCTGAACTTTATATAATGAATAATTTTAAATGGCTTGCTATTTACATCATGAATAATACACACAAAAGTTTGGAAATGTTTCTTCTTATTTGAAAATGTAGGACAAATTTTTTTTTCACTTGGGAAAAGTATTTTCTAAAGCTCTTGAAATTAAGTAAAAAAACTACTTGGTCAAAAAATGTAGCTCATATATTGCTTACATTTTTTTTTTATCTGTGTCATTCACAAATGTTACAAATAAAAAAAATCTTCTACCCGATTATCATAATTTTCAAATTATTACCATGTCAGTAACTGACTTTCAAATGTAAACCACTGTCAAACCATCTAAGATACTCCTTCTTGCTAGAGGAATCCAACCTATTTGTGACAATTTCCACAGTCTCCATTAGACCCACCTTCACTCATGTGCATGAGGACACAGTTTTCCCCGTTAATTTTAGCAAGAACATTCAATATTCTTCCTCCTCCCTCCTGAATATTTTTGCAACATAGTGGATGGCTATTACTAATTTGACTTTAGGCTTAAATCATTCCACAGAGACTCAAGTCTTTATTGTGCATTAGTTTGCTCCAAGTTGCCTGGTTGTTCCCTGTGTGAACCCACATAGATGGGTCACTATATAGCCACAAGTTCAAGGTCTTTTTTGAAGGGAGATAGTCATGGCAGCTCTCCTGCCCACCTGTGAATATGCAGATACTCTCTTTTCTTTTTCCTTTTCCTAATAAACCCATCCTTTTAAAATGTAAAAAAGGAGAAATAGTCACAAAAATAGTTAAATTTCTCTACTTTAAAAAAAAAAAACTTCTCAACTTCTCAAAAGCCAAGAAATCATTCTCAATGGTTCTGTCAAGATAATACAGAGAATTCAAAGGACACAGTTTTCCTGATTGTATTGATGACAAATTGTACAGCAAAGAATTCTGTACTCACGGTTTCCTTTGAAAAGAGCTCTCCTTCTAGAATCTAACCTGCAAGGTAAAATGTATCAGAGACACAGAGAGGAAACATTCACATGAATTGTCTCCTCTAATTCAGAGAGAAGTGTTACATGTGTTGCAGAGACAAGACCAAAAAAAAAAAAAAAAAAAAAAAACCTACACAAAATTGCCTCCTCTTTGGACCCAGAATCCCGCCAACTACAAACTACATTATCTTTAGGAGACAGATTTCGCTGAGGCAGCTACTAACTCACAGCTGCCTGATGACTCAGCGGATTGGGGGGAACATGGCTCTCAAAGTTTTGTCAATAGGCCTTCACACAAAAAAATGAAAGCAAGTTTTTTTTTTTTTAAATGAAAAGTTAGGAAAAAAACAGTCACAGATGAATGATAAAGACATTCTGTAAAGGTTCTGTTCTGTCTCTTTGATCTGTTTCTTTGATAAGTTTTAGATTTTATTCTGAGAATCATACATCAAGAAGGAATTGTGGGTTATCCAACCTTCTGACTACAGAATACAAACTATGTCTAGAAAAGACAACTCAACAGTTTCTTCAAAATTCAACTGCATATTTTTAACAACCTCCAGAAAACATGAAAATAGGACAGACTTCTAAAATGTGAAATAGATGTGATCTTATTTTATGTATTCTTTGTAATGGAGAGAAAAGAAACAAATTCTTTTTAAAGGCATAATTCTTTTTTTTTAAGATTAATTTATTTATACAAAAACCGGGGTACAGGCCAGATGCGCAGGAGGGTGAGAGGATTCACCATAGACAGAGTAGGGAGCAGAACAGGCAGACTGATGAAATACACTGCTGAGGGGAGCAGTGGGCAAGATAGGAGAGGTCTGCTTCACTATGTGGGATTCTTGCTGGCCAGCCGGGATCAAAGCCGTGTTGCAGAGGCTGTGGACAGCTTCACAGTGTGGTGCTCAACTGCCTGTACCACCAGGGAGGCCCTAAAGGCATAATTCTTTTAGGCAACTTTCCAAAAATGAAACAAATAAAAAGAAAATAGTGCGAAGGACATCTAGGCTAAACTTCATTCAGTAAATTCAATTTGAATAATCTAGCTTTCATGCTCTATTAGAATAGGTCAAGGTTCTGCACTTCTGATTTCTCTTGTTCTTGGATCTTTTAATCCAAAGTCGCAGAGAGACCTTTAAATTATGTGTTCGAAAGTCCAGTATTGCCTTTCCATATAGACTTCTTACATTTAAAACAAATTTGGGTTGTAAAGTCAGGAACATACACCCTAGGAATGCCTTATATCAAAGCCAACAAAGAGCCTGTCTGGAGTTGGAGTGGGAGGGGATATTTTAAAGTCTTTGTCCACAAGATAAGACCCACCATATATTAGAATCTGCTATGTCTTAATTTATGTTTTGAAATGAACAATTTACATTAATTTCTATTCTTCGGGACATTTGGTAAAACAGGTATTATCATCACCATTTTTATATGAATAAAGTTTCTGAGAAGTAATGTCATCCCGAGATTACTGCATTTGTAAATGTTTAGAGAGAGTCAAAGAAGACTGTTGTTATGAAGTAAAGTAAAAGCAGGTAAGATCAGCAGTCCCTAGAGCAGACAGTAAGGTGAAGTGTGCGGGACACGGGCAAGGAAGAGGTTCATGGCATTTCCAACCATGAAGCCAGGTAAGATTCCTGAAGCAGTTTCTCTGCCAGCTCTCTGGTCTTTACTCTGCAGCTGCTGAATTTAAAGTCAGCCCCACACTCTCATTTTTGTCTCTTTTGGTTGACATTGTTTCTATAGTCACTCAAATTGTTTACCTGTATTAGGATGAAGAAAGGGTATGATGAGAACATTTTAGTGACTTCAGACCTCTGACCTTCTAAATACTTCTGTAGTTTTCCAAACCTGATCACACAGAGACCCTGATACAGGAGAATCAGGTAAAGGAAGCCTGATGGATATGGTGGAGGTGTACATCATGTACGATCTGTGAAATTGTGTGCTGTATTCTCTAGGCATGATCACCGAGAGGCTACAAAGGAAGCCAGTATTTCTCACAGGCAGCTTCCTGCAGAAAAGTCTTGCATTCAAGTTTACAAGGGTGGGTGGAGTTTGGACGGCTGTTGTATTTGGTTTTTGTTATCAGCTCTGGGCAGCTCAGCACTTCGTATACCAACTTAATCTGCCCTGCTCAGCTTGCCCCAGCCTCTGCTCAGTTATCAGATCTTCTAGTCCATGCTTAGAAATGCTTAAGAGATACTTTATATTCAAAAATTCTGAAATCAGTCTCCTCAGCTTGCATTACTAAAATTCATATCATGTGGATTTTTTGGAATCCAATTTTCTTATCTTTTACCAATAAAGTTATGTAAACTTTTATGTACAACTAATTTTCCCCATGGAATAGAGGTGATTATTATTTCATTATTTTTAATTTCTTATGTTTTTGCTTCTCCAGAATTAGTTCTCATTTTAAAATGTCTCCAATTTTTGCCTCCTAGAATAGTCAAAACATTAATTAATACATCCAAAAAAAGAAGGCATTTTTGTAGTTAACTTTATCTACTTTAACTGTCATCATTTCAGATCCTCTAACATTATTTGCTAACTCTATTTGGGAATTAAAATATTATTCAAGTTTGTAATTTTTATTAAAAAAATGGGATTTCTTTTCCTACCGTTGTTATCTCTCACTCTCCCTACTTTTATTATTCTCTGTTTTATTTATTTGCTATTGTTGCATTGAATAAGAAAACCCCAAAGCAGCAATATTCCCTTATACAGTGAACTATGAAATTGAAATTAAATCTTTAGATAATGGCTTTGAAAGTGACATCCAATTTGAAGGCTTAATTCCACCATTTAATGACCAGATGATCATTGGACATTTGCTCAAATTGTATTAAGTGCATAATGGGAATAGTAAGGACTAATCTCCCTATTCCAGAGAATTGTTGTGTGACTCCATTTAGATGGTTAATTAAAAAGCAATTTGTATTTAAATAGACACAGTGAAAGAATCATTGTTAACTGATATGAATAATGCCAACCACATATATTTCAGCTATTTTAAGTCAGACATTTTATTCTGAATCGTTAATTTTGAAAACCAGAACATAAAGGGCAGAGACTTGAAATGGGATGGTTTCTCATAAAGCTAAATGTTTTTCTTTTAAAGGATGATTTGTAGCATATCATTAGAAAAATCTCATATGAAATTGCTTGATGTTTCCATCCATTAATAATTATCTAGGTACAGCAACCTTGAAGGAAACTGTAAAAGCCTAAATCCTACAAGCCTTATAAAAATAACATGTTTGAGGACATGGTCCTACTCAGGGAACAATGAACTCAACTTAGCTGTTATGGTGTCTGCACCACATGTGCTGTCCACAATTGCACAATCTTTTTTTTTTTTTTAACATTTATTTATTTATTCAAGAATCAGGGCACAGGACTGTGAGGATTCACCAGAGAGAGAGTGGGGAACAGAACAGGCAGACTGACGAAATACACTGTTGAGGGGAGCAGCAGGAGACACAGGAGAGGTCTTCTGCGCCATGTGGGTTTCTCCCTGCTGGCTGGGATTGAACTTGTGCTGCAGAGGCTGTGGACAGCTTCACAGAGGGGCACTCAACCACCTGCACCACCAGGGAGGCCCAAAATTGCACAATCTGGATGAAAAAAATGTGCTAGGGTTCATGCATGTGTGACTGAGGAAGGAAGCAAAGTTGCAGAAGATATTCTAAATTTGATTCAAACTACAGAAAGACAATTTAGATATCCAAATAATTGAGGAATTGAAGAATCCACAGAAGCAGGAACCTAGGGTGACCTGAATGTAAAACTGAGACGTCATGACTGTAGGGTTGCAGAGGGGGCTGACACAATGATGATCTGGCAAACTTTAGAATGAAAGTGGAAGAAGTACATTTGCAGGAGGCAAACAGCCAGCATGATGGTCTTTTGTTCACTGACCAGGCCAGAGAGCATCTTGGGGATGGTGGTGGTGGTGTACCAGATCTCCAAATACACATCGCATATTCTTTTTCTCCTGGAAATATTTGGCCAATATCATTTTTCACCTCCTCCATGTATTTTGGATCCTCTCCCATACAGATGAAGCTACAGTTGAAGAGAAATGTTTTCCTCAGTTCATAGAGGCTCTGGACCTCTGACATCAGCCCCAAACTCATTCAGCCAGAACCATTTGCCATGTCTTCTGGCAAATGGGAGAGAATACACACCACTACAGGTATCTTGGAAATTATTAACAACTTGACTTTCCCGAGTAGTTTCTTCAAGGGTATCTGAATACTTCTAGTACCAAAAACAAAACAAAGCAATCCATCCTTTTAAGATTAGTGCAGGAAATGAATTTGGCATGCAATTAGAGATGCTATTCCAGAGCTTGGCTGCCACCTCACTCACTAGTCTCTAGATCACAGGCAGATTTTGAAAAGGCAGGAAAGAGTCAGGAGGGAAATGTGTGAGAGAAAAGTGGAAAGTGAAAAAATGAAGAGAAGTTTGGGAAGAAGGGTAAGAACAAAGAAAGGAACAACCTTCTGCCTTGGTCTTTGTTTACCTTGTAGACTAGTAAATGCTTAATCTTTCTACTTTACCCCACCCAGATTCTTTATACATCCATTCCCATCTTCCTCTGGCTGTAATCTAACTAAACTGGACTTGGTCATCCTGCTCCTTTGTAATCTATAACCTCAGTGCATATCTGGAGAATGTGTGCAGTGAGAGCAAACTGAGGGATGGAAAGCAAGAGTTGAGAATCACACTCAATATTGGGATTATTTAGTTGTAGAAGCCAAATGCCACTGATAATTTTTGCTTCATATGCTCTTTTAACATCATGTGTAGTGTACAAAAGAATACAATGGTGGTCTTGTACTTATTATTGTTTGCATACAAAAAACACTTTGCATGCAAGTTGATGCAAGTACCATTTGATTTTTTCTCATGAAAATAACAATTTCTATGTAAATATGTAAGAATATTTCATTATTGCAAATTACATCCTTTGAACCAGAAACTTTGGAAACCAGTCCCTTCAAAATGAATTTCACATATCTACCTAAAAGATTCA